GAAATTTGGTTACAAAGTGTGAAATTTAGCTTTTATATTGTTTACTAGATTCTCAGATAGTTATACTTATGGGACTTTTTCAGTCAACTGTTGTGATTAAGTTATTATATTACTTTTATATATTTATAATTTATTTTTTAATGATTTTAGGAAGGTTCTGGTTTAGGGCGATCAGGTCAAGGGATGAGTACAGCTCTGAAAGTTGAAAGACTTGGAAAGAATTCAGGAGTTATTGTAAACGAACATGAACAGGGTTCTCGAGGTTTACTGCAGTACTTTTAGTTGTTACAGCTGTTTTCACATTTGTATTTCCTAAGAACTGGTAGATTTTATTACAGTTGAAGCACCCTCATCTCCACCACCAGGATCGTTTTCCAATGTAACACCTGTAGTAAACGTGACAGAAGCTTTGAAACAGTCATCTCGCATACTTTTGTTGAGGGTATCTCATTTGAAATTTTATTAAAATTGATAATTTACCAGGGAATACGTCGTCTTTTTGCCTGTTTTTTGTCAAGTTTCCTGACTTTTACTGTACAGTAGTCATGAATTAATAAAATTTGTCAGTAAAAAGCACAAATTTTCATTATAAGAATTCTCTCAATGTTTGTTTGCACATTTTATTCATTGATCGGACTTTTAGTTTTTAAAACTTATCTTTCTTTACATGCTGATTGTCTAGAATATGGTTGCTCCAGAAGACATTGATGATCAGTTAGAGCCAGAAGTTAAAGATGAAATGAAAAAGTATGGGCAAGTCAATAGGGTTGTCATCTTTAGAGTATGTTCTTATTTTATTATTGTATGTTTCTACTCATCAATTTATATTTCGAAAAAATGTGGTTTTGTTGATGGACAAAAATGTTATTATTGTATGTTCTCGCAAAATGATGAAGACTGTCTCTTAGACAGTAACAGTAGAGTCGATAAGGCTTAAAATGAATGCATAGATTTTTGATATTTTCAGCTGCTTAATGTTAGTGATGATGAAGCCGTCCGTATATTTGTGGAATTCACAAACGTAGGTCAAGCTATCAAAGCTTTCGTGGATTTGAATGGACGATTTTTTGGTGGTCGTTCTATAAAAGCTTCATTTTATGATCTCGAAGCTTATAACTCTAACCAGTTTAACCGATAGATTTTTTTAACATTGATTTTCATGACATTAGTTATATAAGTTTAGACACTCATTTTGTTTTAAACATCAGAAAAACTGGCAGTGGTATGTTTTCATATATAGTGCGGATTGTTTTGGATAAAACTAAAGCAGTATGAGTAGTTTATTGGGATTTTAGAGCATGGGAAGTTTTTCTCGAAATTGTACATAGTGAATAAAAGCCAAGCATATTTGATGTGTGAGATGATATTAAAATGTACTCCGTACTGTTCAAACAAAGTATGAATAAAATGCTTACGAATTGTTTCATATCCTTCATACTTCTCGTGAAACTAATTAAGATCAGTTCGATTAATTTTATTGTGTGGACGTCATGCACGTTTTTTGATTTTTGTCTCTACCAAGGCGGTATTGTTATTCAGTCTGGGACATTATAATTTTATACATTGTGTTTTATACATTGTGTTCTACTTATTAGCAAGCGTCTTGTGATTTGTTGCTTTGTGGTACGTCGCACTGACTTAGAATACATTTTTCCTTTAAAATTAATCAGATTTTTTTTGCAGTGGTTTAAAGATTTGGATATCAAATATTGTGTGAGATTGGGTAGAACTTCGTAATCATATCTGTCGTTTCTAATCATGACAAGAAACTATGCAAGAATCGCGTCTCTTGATCATCATCGAAAATGTGATCTTATATATCAAATTGTGCATACATATTTTAAGAAGTGGAAAAATGATCTTCCTCCATCAATTGCCTGCAGACTTGATCATATGAATGATGAGTTTCGATTGATAACAGAATTTTCTGTTTGGTTGAGCAGGATGAGTTGTGGTTAGTTTATTGACATTGATCTTTTATTTTTTTGTCGCATTATATTAAGATTAATCAGGATGAATTGCTGTGAATTTCTTGCATGTATTTTATTCGTTAAAGTTTTACTAGTAAATTTGTCAGGATACAAAGTGAATATGTTATCAAGATGGCAGTGGATTTTACATAGTACTATCTCGTTATTTATTCCATACATGGTGAAACGTTTGCTTCCTTTATCCATCCGTCAAGCTAGATGGATGTACAAAATAGTCGCCATTTTTCGGTTTGCAAACTTGTTACAGCTTCTGCTGTTTTATCACATGGGTGGTTATCAGAATATTGTGGAAAGAGTAACGCAAATGAAGGTGGTGTACAAGAAAGAATTGGGTGCAGTATTTATTTTTTTAAATCAGGAAAATTTCGTTGAAGAGTATTAGAGCAGATTTATTTCTTTATGAATATATAATTTCAAAACATATCAATATTCGTGTAGTAGAACATAGAACAGTGACTCATTTCAATAACATGATCAAACTATATTGTATAAAAAAGGTGTATAGATGGAAGCAGTTTTGATTGCCTATTAGTGTATACTAAATAAATGGGATAACGCAATTCAGTTAAGAATTATCTCATGAAGCAGTTGAATAAGCAAATTAAGCACGTTATGAAAGCAATGTCCATCATATTCAGCATATAATGCAAAGCATTTTTATGCCTTTCAACTAAGATAGAACTGATTTATTAATTTTATTTTTCCTCTACATTATAGAATTATTTTCTTAACGTATTAAATCTTACTTAGAACATGTGTTAATTAACTTACTAATTGTTGGGATACTAGCGTAAGCTGAAAATACTCTAAAATAGTAAGGCATCTTTTTGTATGATTCTTTGCTGACTCAGTTTTTTTGTTTTAGTAAAGATTTTCTCGTCATATAAAAATTGTTAGCATCAGAACATTTTTTGTTCAGCAAGAAAGTACTAATAATGAGTTAAAAAAGATTAGGAAGCCTATTTATTGTGAAGTCAGTTTTCACGCATTTCAGATTAGAGTCTTTTTTTATAACTCAGTATGTTGTTTTTTAGGTTTATTAAATTTTGGGGCGCTAAACCAGCAACTCATTTGGCATCTGTTTCGAGATTTTCTCATTCTTTTGGTGTCAATGAAAAGTGAGTTTTGGAAATCAACAAAATACAGAAGTGGAAAGGATCTAAACGCGGTATTGTGCACAGAGTGTGCGCAAGGAGTTATAATACCAGTAAAGAATATTAACTGTGGTCACATTAGATGCTATACATGTTATCATAGTGAACCTTCATGTGCGACATGCGGGAACGTGAATACTTCTTGCTTCCGTTTTTTACAGGTTTCTGAGAGCGGTTCGTAATGCATGTCGTTACTGGTTCTGAAATATTCTTCAAATTAGGCGGCTTCTAGTCAATATTTGGTACTATTGGTCACATGCTGTTATTAGATGTACAAACTTGTATTTCATGAGAATAGAAAGACTAGCTGGGAATGGAATATTTTCTAGTGACTATGAATGGTTCTAGGGTCTGTGCATGGTTGTTACGTACCAATTTCGTACTTGTATGGTGCGAGTATAAATGAGATGTAAGCTAATGTTTCTTTAAAAACAATGAGATACTCTATAAGTAGATTAAATTGGATATTAAGAAAAGAAACATCTTTTTTATTAATTGTGGTCATATTATTACGAATTTTTTATAAGTTTCCCATGATTCGCTTTCGAGTAACGAATAATTTGCGATAGCATTTGAAAACAGCCATATCATAAGAATCCTTGACTTGAGCTTATGTGTTTGCTTTTATACAAGCAATCTAATGGGTAATGAATATTTATGTGCTGTTGGTGTGAGGAGAGTGAGAATTGTTATCAGTTTACCATCTCTAGTGGTTAGTTGTGGAAGGAATGCTATCGCTAGTGAATTAATTTTGTCCATTTTTAAAATCAGGATCTGCTTAATGTCATCTTATATACTTGACTTTCAAATCTGCTATTAGAGTTTTCTTAGTATAGATGGAAATTTTAAAAAGTTACAAATAGTATTGATTTGATATGGATGATTTTTCCCTGACATAGCAATCGGAAGTCTTTCAGCAAATAAACATGATTTGAAACAGGTGGTCTCGCCATCATGAAAAGAAATGGCTGAGAGGAAGAATTCATTACACAGTATATACTGGGTTAAGAGTGTTGAGTTTGGATATGACTTCGAATAACTCAGCTCCGATACAATTAAGTTCTTTAATTGATTGAAGTCATCAAGTTTGATTAATTACCATGATTTTCAATTGGATAAAGGTGATTAATAGTACTTACTGCAAAAATTAGCGAAACCATAACTAAAAAATACCAAAACTCAGATGTTCAGAAGAGTTGCCGATTTTTAGGAAAAGTCATGTGAACAAGAAGACATCGTAGTACAATATTACAGTTCGGGAAGGTTGTTATTTGTTTTCAGCGACGAGCTTGGTCGTTTTATGAATCGGTAATTTGCTTCACATACCCAGTTTTTATTTGTGGTTTTCATCTACACAAATATCTAAAATGAATTCTACTCATGAGGAAGATAGTTCATGTAGGATCCATTATTTACAATTGAATACTAAGTCAATTCAACAGTTATCATTATCAAGTTAATGACAGTTATCTCCCATGAATAGAACTCATTGTAGATATATTTATAAATACTTAGACTTCGGTTCCAATTTCCGGAATATTGTTGCATATGCAGTTTGTTCTAGTCAGATGAAATTATGCCAAAAATTTTTTAAGTTACTGTGTTATTGTATTGGACATAAAGTGACCAATCTTCATACTGTAGGTAGTACTTTGAAAGTTTTCAATAAAATATGGTTCTCAGCAGCTGAAGAGTTTCATTTGTATTTAGGAGCTGACTCCGTGTTTTGGATTTTGAATTAATAGCTGTAGGTGGTTTGCATTTCATATAGTTTATTAGGAATAATTAAATACTTTCTTAATAACAGTTAGGTGCGAATTGAAAGGAGAGATTACTATTAATCGTGAGCATTGGGTATTTTTTGTAAGAGAAAGTCTAATATTCGAGCTTTTTATGCCGTTAATCATGGTAAGTAAACTCTCGTAAGAGAGTTATATCGTTGTCTGTGAAGCAGAAAGAAAAATAATGCGAAGAATCAAACAAATAAGACTGATAGTCGTAAAGGAATCTTATTAGTATCAAGGAAATTTTGGACTTACCAATTTTGATTTAATGCTCATCTCTTGCAGATGTTGCCATTGCGGAGGTTGCTACCATATATAGCAAACCCATCAAAACAACAAGTATCAGAAGATTAACAATCAGGATCATCGTATTCTTGTCAAAAGTTTTCTCGGCAGCCTCAACAATGCTTTGCTTACGCGATGTTGGTGGTGCCATCTCTTTATTCTTTCTTCTTATTCTTCAGAACGTGAAAACTGTATACAAAGTTGAAAACTAACGTATCCGAATTTCTATATACTTTTTGAAAGTAGCACTAGTAAGTTCTCGTCAAGTGACTTGAGTATAGCTTATTCTTCCTACTGCTTACTGCTTTGTCTTGGTTCGCTTATGAGCTAAAAGAAGAAGATCACCTGGACTTTTTGTTATTCGCTCGAAATTTTGCTCCAAGACTGAGAAGTTTTCAATACTAAGCAAACAACTGCCTCTTAATATATGATCCTCGAAAACAGGGAGACATATCAACACACATATACATTATGCGTTAGAACAATATGCACTATAAGTTTCAAAATCGAGCTTCACTCTCTCTTTCCCTTCCCTCTTTCAATTAGCATTTGTAAGATCTTTCAACTCATACTTTTACACCTTTTTTACGGATTAGTTCCACATTGACTAGTTTCTATGTTAGAAAAAAAGGGGACATGCAAACGAAACAAGGTTAAAACAAATGTTGGGCAGGATTTATACCAACTCAGAAGCAGTGCATGCGTTTATTGCAATCAACTGTAATTTATTGTTAAATAAATAGCAAGATTTTGGCCTTTGCAGATTTCCTTTGAAAAGAAGTTGTGGGAATAGCTCTAGTTCTACTCAGATTCAAAGTGTATTGGATTCCTTAGAAAACTTGCCAAAAATGGTAAATAGTGCGTTAAATAGAAAACTCGCCATAAATGGTAATTAGTGCGTTAAATAGAAAACTTGCCAAAAATGGTAATTAGTGCGTTAAATAGTAATGATGGATATCATCTGCAGATATGGAAAAATAGGTAAATAAATATTGATTGTATAAAGTAACGTCATTCAGCACTCACCCTGCAGGAAAATTGTGCAAGGCAAGTTGTTTTAGCAGTTGTAATAGCTAGCTGTTCTCCGTTATTCTCCTGGTGTGAAGCAAAATGTTTTTCTGAACAGCTCTTACAATCATGGTTTTTCTATTAAAAATTAATACTGCTGTTACAATTTGGTTGTTCAATAATTCTGTCAGAATACTAAAATTATGTAGAAACACGACAAAACTAGCTCTTAAACTTGATTTTTTTGTCTTTCTAGTTACACTTTTGATATAATTAAGAACGGATGGTAACTAATCACAAAACTTTTTAGATTTGAGAACAATCTCATTTTTTGCAAACGGTATGATTAGAAACTAAAAAGACTTGTGCAGGTTTGTGGGCTACTTTTCTAAAGTATACGCTCCCAAAGTATATTTCATTTTGTGAAAAGACTAAAGAGTTAGGACTGCATTAAATTTACAAATACTGATGTAAGCACTGGGAAGCTTTGGAGTATTTGAGCACAAATATGAATGTACGCTATAACTATAGAAAACAACCACAGTTTGGCACGAACCTCCTTTAAGACGATAAACAATCCAGTCCCATAAAGGAAGTAATTTAAGACTTCACGATTCAAGTGCGAAATTTCATTTCGGAAGAGTAACATTGCACTGATTGAAACTACGCTATGCATATCCACTTCCATTCAGTACTCCCGACTTTTCCTCCTAATTCATAATTTCGTCTAATATGAAAGCATGAAATATATCATGGAGGAATCATTCTTTAACAACTGTAAGTCATACTTTTTGTTCCATGTATCCAGTTCTTATCTGCAAAATATGCATTTGTTTTTAAGCATCCGAAAACGTGTATGCAGTAAAGAACCAATTTTGTGACTAGAAAATCAAAACATGTCCACTTCTCCCGAATTTTTCGCTTCCTAGTTATGTGTTCTCAAATACAATGAACTGACTCCATTTTGATTACATTAAGTAAATGGAATTTGTCCTCTAGTCTAGTGGTTGACAAAAAAACATACTGAGATCAGCATTAGGTGGTCTGTTTACAGTAATGACCAATAATGCTACGACAATACATTCTTACGATTCTTATACCACTATAGACGATTCTCTTCATATTTAAAATGAAGTCTTCACAGTTGCATAAGAAAATTTATTTGATTTAGTAAACAGAATTACGCAAACCAAGTTTTAAATTATGCAAATAATCTGAAAATAGGTCTATCATACCATGTCTTATTTAAACTTCACCAAAAATAAAAATAAATCTGGATGCTTGAGTTTAACTGGCCTTATCATTTGAAAAAGTTTGAGCTTATCAGTTCTTTTCAGAAATAAGAGAGCCAATAAAAATCTTCACAAATAAGATATGAAATATGAAACCAACAGAGCTGCAGAAAAGAGAACAATTATTGCTAAACCAATTTCTCATTTATTATACAGTGTACTTTAAAACAATTTATGACTTTCTTTGGGTAATTTGAGATCCCAAATCATACAATTTTTCTTGAACGAAATCTGCAAGTGCTTTTCGTTTTGCTATTTCCGAATCACTATGGAAACTCGACATATATTCCTTCATATCCAGTTCCTTACCTATCGTTATTGTAACGTGCTGCAATATGGAAATACAATATATGAAAACATGCCGTGATTCTTACTCTCTATCTCTAATTTAGCCTTGAAAATGAATTTGTTTTAAACGGTCAGTGAAAAGGAATATTGCTTACTTTTTAGCACAACTTCATTCTTTACACGGATATTAACAGAAAACAACATTAGAATGCCCAGTAAAAAGTACAATCATAAATATAACTATTTTAAGAAAATAATACTTTTCCTAAACGCGGATAATAAGGCTTTGATTGTGGCCATACTTCGGCCATGCGTTGTATCCATATAGGAAGAACGATTGGAGGATTTGGACTATCCATTATCTAAAAATGTGCATATTTTGACATGTTATAGACTACAAAACATCTTATTTATGCACTAAAAGTATATGATTGGAAGTACTGCGTCTAACTTGTTACACTAAAAAAATAAAAAGTATGGGACCAATCCCAATATATTCTGTGACATGTTATTAGTTCTGAAATGTACAGTTTTGAAAATCACAAAAACGGCAATGAAAATCTCTTTGCTTACCATACGCGCTACACCCCATTTGATTCGTACTGGTTCCAATGTAACTTTACCTTCGGGAAAGATATGTATCCACCCATTTTTTGCAAGTTTATCGATGCAAAAGTCAACTCCTTCTTGATGAACACCCGCTCCACGCACAACAGGGATACATTTACCTAATGAAAAAAACCTGCAAAACAAAAATAAAGCAAATGTTTTCCACTGGGAACGCTGCAATTACATGCAAAGAATAAAGAAAATAGTGCATGAATTTGAGTATGTATGTGGAAGTCTGAAAATTTCAAGTACAAAAGCATGATGCATCCACATTTGAAAAAAAGCACATTTGAAAAAATGATTAAAACAATGGAAAAAAATTTTTCAAATGTGAATGTACATTACAACGTATACCAAATAAAAAGCAGTGATTGAGTCATTTGTGAATTCTTAAATAGCAGAAATCATTAGAATATTGGGATTTTGGATAACTGTGACGATTCTAAAAACACCAAGTATTATAGTTTGCAGAAAGATAAAAATAATGAATTACTATGCGTACCAGCTATGCCAGCTCTTAGTGAAACAAATATCATTCGCCGCTAACGTATATCTGAATCGCGACACGTTGGAAAAGAATTCCGGCCACGTGAAAAGACCTCAAATATTTAAAAACAGTATAGCAAGTTAAAGAAAATTATGATAAAAGAACTGAAAAAGTTAATAAAAAGATGTAAAATGAAATATGATGAATTCTCTTCGATTGCATACAAAAAAACTAACACCAAATAAGAGGGTCATCCATGTTGCTTCTGTGATTAGATACTGTGATCAGAGGTCTTGATCTGTCTTGAAGAATAGTAAGAAAGCGATTTTTGTTTACTACTGTGATGCGATTCATACCTGCAATTACGCAATGAATTTGCAAAGAATAATTACAAATGAAAAAATTGCGATGTTAAAATAAAATATATAAAACTTAGTGTCTCTAACATAATGAATATGTGAGTGAAAACGTACTCAATGAAAAGATAATTTTGCATGCGAAGAGCACACTCACGAGTGTAACATTGGAAGCCCATCGAAAGACTAAGTTTGGATTCTTGGGGATATGGCACTGAAGATGAAATTGATGAGATGTAGCCATCAATTAAGTAGCATCACATCCAATTCCTAAAAACGAAGATTTTATTGACAGGAATGAAACGGAATTTAAACGTGGTGCCATACGTCAGCACCAGTGCGGTCCGTTGAAAGATCTTTGTATTTTAGTAGAAATGCTTTTGTTGCTGTTTTGTTGCAGTCGCGTTGTGTACCTTTTTTTCAAAGCTTCCTCTTCGAGCATCATAGATTGTTTTTTTTTAATGCATATTGGTACACCAATTTTCAGAACTATCTTGTGATTTTTAGTTCTAAGCCTTACTGATTTTTAATCCACGAATTGCAAATAAACCTATTTTTGTGTGTTCATTTCTTTTTTATTATTTGGACTACTCGTTGTTATTGTGTAAAACTGACCATCTAAAATTTGATAAAACGTCAGAGGATTGGGACAGTTTTTGGCCTTAATGGCAGGAGACGACTGTGCTATTTCTGAATTGCTTGCTGAAGCCGATTTATCTTAGTACGTTTTGATTTCCAAATAATTTTAAATTCATTTTTTGTCTGAAATTGTCACAGCTAATATTGCAGTGCAGCAATATTTCGGGCAGACTTGTTTATATTTTTTTGACAGTTAGTGAAGTAAATGAAAAGTATTATTTCGTATCAGCTTCGATCAGTTAATAGTCGTGTACAGTAAATCTACGTGAAATTATTTTTGATTTTATCTAGTTTTTTCAGAAATACTCTAGTCAAGTCCATGAATTGACATTTTTTTAATAATTTGCCTCAATATATAGAATTTCAAATGTTGCATATTAAAGCAGGTGTTGAGTTCTGCATATTCGGTATGCAGAACTCAACACCTGCTTATTGTTATGGTCCACAATTTTTGTAAGTAATATTTAACACGAAAACATACATTTCTGTCTTATTTGCAGCAAAATTCAATCTTTTTAAGAAAACATTAAATGTGAAGTTTAACTATAGAACTAACTTTCAGCTCTTTTATCGTAATTATTTTAGTTATGAACATTCGATGCGAACAGTTTTGAGGTTACGCAGTGCAGCAGATATGAGTTATGTAGATGAAAAAGATCTCAGTAGAATTGGCATGAGCAGACCTGAACAAAAACGCTTAAGAGCGGCCTACTATCGCAAATTTTCAAAGCCATCTGTGTTTGGGAAAATTCGTAGAAGGATTCTCGGAAAAGGTATCAGTTTTTCCAGTTTAATGAAAAGCGATGTTTTTGCTAAATCATATTATAGTGAGCCATAAAAATGCAAAATATTTACTATCAATTTTCCGAATCAAGGTAACTAAGTACTTGAGAAATTTTATTTTTAGGGAATGTTAAAAAGAAAAAACATGGTTCTAATGGCTATCAAGAGCAACATGTGATACCTTTAGAAAATCTTACTCTGTCACGACAGTTAGGTAAAGGTGAATTTGGTTCCGTTTATCAGGCTGCGTGGAGTAATTCAAATAGCAATGAGCAAATACAAGTACTTATTACATATTGTTCATTAAAGTCGATGCTTCATTATTCTTCGATTCGAGCTTAGTTCTTTGCCACATTCGATCATCCGTTCATTCTGATGCTTATAAAGATAAATTTCATCTTTTTATCGACTAGCTTTCAGAGACCAACAATGATTGATTCATTACTGCGATTCAGTGATTCAAAGATTCAGTTTTAGGTTGCTGTGAAGTGTATTTTACCGGAAAAGTTTTTTGCGAATCCACTTAACTTTTTGCAAGAAGCAGCAGTTATGCACAAAATGTGTCATGAATGTGTAGTCAGACTCTATGGAGTAGTATTAGATACTAAAGCTGTTATGCTGGTAATTTTTGTCCGTATTGTCATGCTTTAATTTTTTAAAGTAGTGGTTTTACAAGTCCCGTTCTACTCATCGTAAGTTTTCGATCATTAAGTTCATATACACTTGTTTTTTATCCTCATTGAGCGAAACATTTCCTCTTCTTTCTTCTTATTAATATCTTCTAGGTATCCGAGCTAGCTCCATGCGGATCTTTGCTAGAATGTCTCCAAAATCGTTCACTTCGACCTACATTTTTCATTGATACATTGTGTGAATTTTCTCAACAAATTGCTCAGGGAATGGAATATTTGTCAAGTGAAAGACTTATTCATCGTGATCTCGCAGCGCGAAATGTTCTTGTTTTTACAGCTAAGAGGGTACAAGTCCTTTTTTTCTTATGTTTGACGTTAAAAACTTTCAGTGCTGACATTGGCACTGAGAAATGTTGGAAAGTCGGGCAGTAATATTGTTGTTAAAAATTAGTTTTTTTCTGCATAATGTCATACATTCAAAAAAGTATAAGAAAGTGAATCAAATAAAAATTTAAATGCAGGTGAAAATATCGGATTTTGGTTTGAGTCGTTCGTTGGGTATGGGGGAAGATTATTACAGAAGTGAGTTTTCGGAAGTTGTGAGGTTACCGATTGCATGGTGCGCACCTGAAGTAATTAATTTTCTGAAATTCACTTCTGCAAGTGACGTTTGGTCATATGGTGTAACGTTGTTTGAAATATTTTCGTTCGGTCAAATGCCTTGGGCTGGTCTTAGTGGCATGCAGGTTTTTTTTCTCTTAACATGCTTTTTTTAAAGAACTAAATTACAGAAAACTTCTATTTATATATTCAGATAATTATTCCCTTAATTCATTTAACTATGGGTTTTTATTTCAGATATTGGCAGCGATAGATTATCCTAATTCACGAAGACTAGAATGTCCAGATGCATGTCCGGTGGAATTATACAGCTTAATGATGCAGTGTTGGGCTCATAAACCGGAAGAGCGTCCTTCATTTACAGACATTTTGCGACATCTTCCAGAAATTGTGCCTCAATCTTTAGTCACGGTGATGGCTTGTCGTGATGGAGTCATAGATCATCTCCAATATTCAAGAAATGAAACAGTTATTGTCCTTGACAAGTGGTAAGTCGAAAATGTAACTAATAATTTACTTTTTTTATATCATTCATATGGCAAAGTTTTAATAATTTTTTAAAATCTTATGAACAATATGAAAAGTTTTCGATGTAGTTTCTCCTTCGTAATTTTTATCTTTATAGTTTCCTTTGCTTGATATTTCAGCCCTTCAGCTTATCCAGATGGGTACTTTTGGCGCGGTTGCATGCGAAATGGTCAAACAGGCTTATTTAGGCCAGAAGAAACGGTTGCTAAACTTGCCATCGAGTTGCCAAACAATAAACGAGATCAGTGCTCTTCATCAGTTTCTTTACTAACTAATTCACAACCATTTTCTTCTGGAAAGGAGAAATTACAAAGTAGCAGTAGTAGAAAAAAATTACTAATAAGTGAACCTCAGGGTGATTTTCGCCATACTTGCCATGTTGGCTCTGATGGAACAGCTTTCGGGCTGCTGGAGGTAATTTATTAATGACTTTTTACTAAAACATTTTTCTTGCATTCTGGTCATACATTGCAAGGTTTTTTCTAGAGTTTTATTTGCAAATTTTGGTATTTTTTTGCTTGTAGTTTGAAATCTGTTGTAACTAATTTGAGTAAATTATAGTATTTTCAGTTCAGCAAAAACGAAAAAGCTCAGTGAAATCATTTGCCACAGTCCATGACGGTTGTTTTGTAGATTTTTTTTCCACTACATTTACCTTATGGTGGGTTGTGGGGAAGTATTATCGCCTATAATGTCTCTTTAGAACATATGGAGTGTGGTATGTCGTACTCAATGATTGTTCTTTTTTCTTTATTTTATTGTGAGATTTGTAACTTGTAGTTGAGAATAAACTTTTAGGATGAAAAGCATGTTTCAGTAACGGGTGTTTTTAAAACTTGTTGAGCGATTTTCTATTGTTGTTATGGTTCGAAGTATCTTATTCCTAGAACATAATCTTAGTTGCAGATTGTTTTAATTTTATATTTTTAGACTAGACTTTTATTTTTTTCCTTTCTGTTTAGTATCCTTATCTCTGTTATTGTCGAAGCGAGATTCAGTGATAATAATGAATGCGATGGTTTCAATCGCATCTATTTATTATTAAAAAATTTATGTTAATTTGGTGCATTCTATTTCAAATTGCTGTATTTTTTCTTATACTATGATTAAGCAATATAGTGATATGGCTACCATATTTTGAATGAAATTCTTTAGTCTTTCTGAATATGTAAACTTTGATATCAATCACTTTCATTTCTCAGTGATTTCACTTGTCATTGCCATAAATCAAGCGAAGCTATTATTGTGGTGATTGCAGATTACTTAAGTATGTTCAGCATCACAATGAGATTTGAAAAAGTTGACTGGACCATGTGAAACCTCGTATAACTACATTTTCGAGTTCTGGTACTTTGCTATTAGCTGGATACTAATCTTCCGAGATTGCGAAATACTCTGAAGGTCTGTTAATATATATCTCTAGTTATAACTTTCGGATGCCAACTGGTAAGACTGGCCTAACAACAGCCTGATCTGTAGATTTCTGTGTAATCCCAAGATAATTTTCCCAATTAAAGGCGAATTATACATTGCAGACTGTCACAAGTATCAGAACAGTAAAGTAGAGGCTTAAGCGGTTGCTGCCTTTTCAAAAACAGGTTTCAGAACTGCATTCATCTAACCTAGCGGTACCATCAGCCAACATCGGAGATAATCTGATACTCTAATCAATCACGTGCTGCAGTGAGAATCGAGCAAGAGCTATATCTACTGCACATTTGCGACTTGTTTGTTCCATATACGTGTTTATACAAGCAAAATGTGCAGAGCTTTATAGCACATAATATATGTAGTGGTACATATAAATAGATAAAAACCTTGTAAAAGCGAAAAAAAGTGAGCATTTGTAAAGGAAATCAAAAGTATATTTCCATACTGAGTACCACCATCGAGAACGACAATCAACTAAGGATATTGACAACTCAATCAAGGCATTATAAGAAACAAAATGACTATGAAGCAACGTTGATTTCCAGGGTGGGAAAAGCCAGAAGATGTAAAAAGCACGGGATAAAGAAAACGGACTTTATGCGAATTTCCTACCATTTACTTACATATTAAGGAAGACTCCTTAAAAGAGAACGAAGTAGGAGTTGAAATTAATAGAAAAATTGCTAGGGTATGGGTTTGAAATGTTCCCACCAATATCGGTTTCATAATCTTAGTAATGAAGGAAAAGAATAAATCTAAATGTTATATGGATAAGCAAACCTATGATGAATTAAAAGTGCTCAAGAGAAAAGTCACAAGAAAAAGAACAAGCATTAATACCAGTGCTTCAATATCTCAATTTTCATTATGTTGCTATCTTACAATCTTACACACGACCTATGAACGCCAAGATTAAAGATCTAGTTGGTCAAAATTAAACACATTATTAAGGTTAAGTGATCTCTTATATCAACCAAATGAACATATAATTCAAATGATTCCGTGGTTCTTTAGTGCAGAGTCGTTTCTAGTATCAGGCTATTATTGACTAAAACAAACAGCTGTGGCATTTCAATACTACACAGAAAAGTCACCTGAAGACTCAAATGTTAGTACTGGTAACTCTCCACATAAAATAATTCGAGAACAATACAATAAAGATTCGCCAGCCGAAGTATTCTGGTTGAGCAAAAGACATGAAGAAAACAGCAATAAAAAGCATGAAAAAGTGCAGTGAGTGTATCTTTGATAAATCTGAGCTCAATACACTAGTAAATATTACTGCCCTAAAAACTAGTCAGTTAATCATGATTAACAGCAGATGAACAATGCTTCCTATGAACACCATGAAGGATTTTCTTCCAAAAGACCACACAAACCATACGTTGAAAATACAAAAAATAAAGGTAAAATCTCGTTCAGTTATGAAAAAGCATTCTTTTTCATACCTGAACAGTCAAATATACAAAAATTAGTTCATGCCTTGATATGCAAAAATATGGAATCTGTAAAAACTAGAAGCATGTCAACATACAATACAGACAGCTTCATTAAAAAAATAAAATGAGTATTTAGTTCTCAGAACTAATAGAACAAATACAAGTACTACTAAGCAAAAATGTTATGATTCAGTTATATGTCATCAAAATAGACAGGTCACGAGAATTGACAAGATTAGGTTAGTAACTAATTAAAGACAAATTAATTCCTCAATAGTTGATTACTTGTTGATGGTTCGCTTTACAACAATTTCAACAGGATTACTTGCAGCTTTCAATAAATCAACAATAGCACCGGGAGTATGACTGCTCACTGAATCCCCATTCACTTTCCAAATTCTATCACCAATATGTAATGTTCCATCAATATCTGCAGCACTGCCACTACTAATCATTCGTATATAGATCCCTAGAGGAAAATAGACATTTTACAATAAAAAGAAAAAACATACAATATAGTAGAAGAGAACATCGATTTTTGAACGAGCAAAATTTTGTCACTCATAAACATACAGTATTCTAAAACGGGTGATTTATATCAATACGAAAACATTGGTTAAACAAAACTGTCAAAAACAAAAGTTTAAGAAATAATGAGGTTCGTATAAAAACGGATGGAAAAAATTATTCCCCAAAATCAGACCCTTCATGAAGTGATGTTACCTAATGCAAAAAAATCTAATATTTTTTCCAGTGACCTCGATTATAAAGACTAAGGTAACTAACAAAACAATAAGCATCTTCTGTGTTAATAACAGACCATCATAACCAGTTTTTTTTGCCAAACTAAGGCCAAGAGAACCAGTAGTTGACTTTTCTAGAACGACTCGTATGGTCTGTTCGTCATCATCCAAAGCAATCATTTCTTTGTCTATATGTTCCAAACATATCGCAACTTTGTCTCCACTTTTTCTAATTAGATCCACTACATCCTGATGAGCCATATTTTCCACTCGTTTGTGATTAACCTGCAAACAGAAAATTATGAATAAAGTTGATAAAGTAATGACCTTTTTAATAACATTAGAGCGAAAAATCTTCTATTATAGTCATAAATTACTGCATGCAAAATATAAAGCCACTGATAAATTGCCACACACTGAAAAATTGACGGTAAATAATTTTAAACAAACCATAATAATTTTATCTCCTACACTGATATTCGGACACGACAGTGCAGGTTCTGCCGTAATCTGCTTTACGTATACGATACCTGCGCTGGATGCGATTTGAAAACCGAGGCTACCGAGTTCGTTACGGTGAAGGATAACTATTGAAACATTGGAAGGCAGTGGTTCTACTATATCATCCAAATCATCTGCCCAATCAAGGTTTGGTTTCTTTCTATAAATGTATGAGATAATTCCCGTTATATGATTAATAAGAAGCAGAAACAAAGCAATGTACCGGTATTCTTCTACAGATCTCCAGTCACAGAAAAGACTTTTTTGCTGATCGACGTCACTCTTTTCTGACCCCAGCCAGCCACTTTCATGAGATTTAAACACACAATACGGAACTATGGCAGAATGTTGTACAGAGTGTTCCGTAACATCATCATCAACGTCTTCGAATTTGTACATTGATGCTACCGTCATATCATAATCCATTCGCTGTTCAACCCTTTCATTCGATAAGGACTCTGAACGTAAATACCTAAAAGCGTTACCAGTACGCAAAAGCAATAAAGGTAAAGCGTATATTACAATGTTACTAAGTAGGCGACAATAGACATAATACATCACAAAAATAGTATTATCAGATAATTTTGTAAAATTCTGGGACAAAAGAACCACCATCATGATTCATGTTTAAACCTTTTAAGAAAATAAAATAAAAAGATAAATAGTTGCTTTTACCCTGTATATGTTTTGCTTTTAAGATTTGCCAGTAAATCTTCACTGTTCAAATCAGGCAAAGTATCCCCCACAGCTCCAAAATCGCTTATTGCTCTTGTACGTTTTTTTAGAACATGCGGATGCTTTCGTGAAGGAGGTGGTGTCCTTGATCGTGTTCCTACAGATCAGGAAAAAAAATCAGTAGGTAAAAAACATTTGTAGCACAATTTTGAATTCGTTCTTCAACGGAAAAAATACCTTTACTACTAACAGAAAATGAATGGTTATCTTTTTTCTGATCGTTTAGCACTCCTTTATTCGCAATACCCGTAACAAGGGAAGATGAAAGCGCTTCCAATCTCAAAATCTGATTTTTTAACACATTTACATGAAAACTATTATTGTTACTAAACAAAAAAAAATTATAACTATTAGATGTTTAGTCCTGTTTCGCATAAAATATCAAAAATAAGAAATGGAAATTCCAATTTTTTCAATTTGCTCAAGTATGATTAGTATGTTGGTGAGTGCAATATAACACAGTAGAAATGAAACACCAAATATTTACAAAAATAAACTTTAGGGATGTTCTACTTTCTAAATCCATTCAATATTTCGAACAAAAAATCAAACAACGAACTCTTACCGGAAAACCTTTAAATGTACAATATCAGAGCACTGTTTCACCAGATCCACAGTTGCATGCCTGTCCTTTCCAACAAGTGATACATCATTTACACTCACAAGTCGATCACCAACATTCACTCCCCAAAGTTTTTTATCATGAATCATATATCAATAAAAACTTGAAACCAATTGTGAAATATAGAACTGAAAAAAACTAACCCCCTCTCTCCCAGCTCCTCCTTCCGATACCGACTTTACATAAACGCCTTTCACACCATTTAAATTACCATCAACAAGCGTTAAGCCTAGGCCAGTACTTGGGTCTTTTTTCAGTGAAATTTCTAATACATAACCATCAACATTTTCAGAGAGTGGATCCACAGATATTTCATCATCATAGTTATCACCTAGATAAAAGAGACACCATCTAGCCGGAAAATTGAATAAAAAATTTTCATTTTACTTCAATACTAATTTCTAAGAGTTGGCATTAACCATATAACTGTGAAACTGCATTATGAATATAATTTTCATAATGAACGGAAATTTGTAGCTTTTATGCATATCATTTATTTCACCTAGTTTGAAATCTCTATCGCAGGAAGTCTTATATCCTCTTAAAGAATCTCTACTACTCGAAAACCGATCCTTTTCTGTAGAGCCGATTTCAAAGGTGCTCCGAGAACAAGGAGCACTGATATCGGAATCATCAACTGATGGAACCTGTAAACTGATGCTGAAGAAATAGAGCCATTAAACTTAAGTCTGTTCATAGTCAGCTCACACTAAAAATTTCTCAACAATTCGAGAAACAAATAAAGTGAAGCACGATTTTACTAGTATCACATTAAAAATAATCTATTACAGCTATTAATATCTTAAGATATGTACCTTTTTGAACGAACAATAAATATAAAGCTACTAGAATTTTAGTAACTATTAAATAAAACAAAACTGTAACCTCCTTGATTAAGTCAGTATCTGCTCCAACATCTGGTACTTTATGAAACTGAAATGGACTGTCGTGTCTTAATGTATGATTCCACTGTCGCATTTTAATCATAAAACGATGTTGTGAAGCAGCAAATCGCACAAAATAGGAACTTCTGAAAAAAGAAGGATTAATGAAGAATGATTTTACTAAAATACGTTTTGCAGCATCTTCCATAATATCGTTAAACATAGCTGCATAAAATGATGCACAGTTTATACTTTGAAATGCATACTTCGAGTAATGATTGGTATAGAAAACATTGGTAGATGGCTCGTGGATTTCAGAAACAATCACAAAGCGTTTTTTATCAAACTGCAAGGTTTGGGTATTCTGCCAAAGATATTCAGTTTGTGCATGTCGACCGTCGCTACAAGGTACAAAATCAATCAATTTACATATATACATAGATACAAATATTTATCTACTTCATGTTTACATAATGATAAAAACAATGAAAAATGAACAAAAAAAATACATCGAAAGATGAACATAAATAGGGAAAAAGAATAAAAATGCGTAACTTTTATTTCACCATACAAAACTGAATAAAAACCTTTCTTCTTCAAAAATTACAATGCCGCGCGCCATAATTCCAATCCATTGTGCTACACCAGTTTGAGGGTCACCAAAAGGAATATTGCCAAGATTAATTGATGGTTTCGACGTAAAAACGCGATATAAATGAGCACCATAATCAGATAAGCGTTGTGTTAGCTAGAAAATGCTGTGAGTTTCTCTCTGGTCAAAAACCTATTTTTTGGTATTTAATTTAGATAAGTAAAACCTATCATACACTGAATAAAAATACAGTACGTTAATTATTGTAAATATAAACTTATATTAGGTGCTTCAATGTCACCAGTAAGTAGAAAACAAATTCCATGTGAATAACCTTTAACGATTTCTACATCATCATTTCTTGTGCACTTACAGTAAAAGGCCAGAGTTGACTGCGTCATAAATGAAAAATATAAATCTAAACTAGAAAAATCGTAATAATGAGTTAGCCCAAATACCAAATGTTACCAAGATAAATCGCTTTTCAGCATCAATTTGTTTCATTCCACGGTATTTTCCATGTTTCTCGACCAAATCTTGAATTACAGCTTTTTTGTCACGACTATCCATATATCGCTAAAACATACAATTACAGAATACAAAAGAGAACGAATTAACCACAATTCATTGGTGTAATTACAAACAACTACAATTTTTCTTATAGTTTTTCAATGCTTCCATGGAACAAAGGTCAAGATAACAAAATAAATAGACAATTTAGCAAGTATTAATCAATAAAGATTTTATAATTTTTGTTACTTCATGTTGGATGAAAAATTGGAGAACTGCTCAAAAATAATTGTTAAAATTGGAGAATTACAAATGAAAACATACCGTAAGAAGACTGCATTCAGATTCACTTTCATAATTAAATGAATTGTTTTCATACTTAGAGTAGTTAATGAAAAAGGAAAACATGATAAAAATTAAATAATAGTAAGAGTGAAACCTTCGGGATATAGTACTGCGCATCAAAATAATCTGAAATTTTTGCGTTAGGTTGATCCGAATATTCGCTTTGCATAGCCAAAGCAGCTAAAGTGTACAACAGCTCACGTTTGGGCAAAATGCGATCGTCTAATATATCCCGTCGTAATTGCAAATACAGTTCATGCAGTACAACTTCAGTTCTAAAATATTCAAATTATTGTAGTAAACAATGTTAGTTTTTGTAGTCAAATGAAAATTATTCATATCTGAGACTCGAATCATTTTGCCAAAAAAATATAAACAACATCTTCATTATTTATGCTTATTTCATGTGACTGCAAGCAAAAATCGTATCAAACATTATTCTACTGATCCACAAACATGAGATACATTGTCGATGGTTGCAAAGACTAAGTAGAACTATATTTAGCATGGAAACACAAAAGCTCATAAAATTAAACCGTATAAAAGCAAGTGAAGCTGGGTAGTATCGAAAACGCAAAAAAAGCATATAAGATCTTTTGGATAATCCACGTTGCCTTGCATTTTTCCAACCTGGAGGAGCAAACTTCTCAAGGCGTTGATGACCATCCAGAAAAAAGTGTTCACCATCTAAAAAACTGACAAAATTCTAAAGAATGCAACAGTATAAGATTGCAATGAAATTTTTAACATTGATATTAAAAAAACAGTGATCCACACAAAACATATTAAGTGATTTGAAAGAAGTATAATGTAAGTCCGACTGCTCTAAGGAACTGTAAATACGAAATATTAATTAATCTGAAGCAATACTGTATCGCAACACTTTTTTCAAATGATTAAATTACAAATTAAAAAAGTCACTAACTTATGCAAGAGCAATCGCTCAGATTTTACAGTCAGCTAAAACAAAGATTACATCATGACCGACGGCATTTTTAACCAAAAAAATGAAGCATCATTGATTATACTACATAAAACTGTAAACAAATATTTAAAAAAACCTCTCAGGACTGTTAAACCAAAAAACGAGTTCTCTGTGAAATTCAAATGCCTCATTACAACATCTGCAATTTCGGAAGCCACAGCATCTGAACGACAACTCACTTCCACATGCCTTCCACTGAGTAACTCAACGGTCACATCCGTGTGCTCTACTCGATGTAGTGTTACTTTTTTCTGTTAAACAACGGCTCAAAATTTAATCACAGTCATACAATTATGACAAATTTGTATCCACAATAGAATGAAAAATGCCCCCTAATCAGACTTGACTCAAGTACGAAATGAAATGTAACCTCTCCAGATTAATATGGTGCACTTCCAATGTTAGATTACCTACATAAATTTGGATCAGAATTCGATAGCAAAGAAATAATCAAGACAAGATAAACATTAAACGAACAAAACGCAATTACTGAAATAAGTTTTTTATCAGCAACAGTAAAACTCAAATATAACCAAAAATTACTTTTCTTTGAGCTGGTGCCTTTAAACAAATAGACGAAGCACTCGCATTCTTCACAAATTCTGGTCCCCGATTAAGCTAAATACAGCATAAAATCTCCTATGTTGCAAGAACTAAAAAACTTTTGCGCTCAAAGGTGGTCATCAAAGAGGACCAAATACATTATAAGACATCATTACCTAATAAGAATTATTTAGAAATTAAATGTTGCAATTTAAGTGACAGATCATTTAATAACCATTAGAAATAAATCACTCAAATGGTCTGCAAAAATAAACTTATCGCAACAAATATTTTGAGAAATACACAACAATAATATATCAAGCACTTTTTCAATGCTGTTAAATCTCAAAACATACATGAAATCAAGAACACTAAATGAAACCAACTTTTCGTTTCAAATGTCTGGATGATTTTCGTCCACTTATTCGATCCGGTAAAAGTGAATTTCTTCTAACAAACTGCTGGTCTAAAAAGTGCATAAGTCTAATGCTCATAGAATGGCAATTTAGAATGAGGCTAAGTTAATTTTTCTGAAAACATTGCACTAAAACAAATTCTAATACTTTCCAGAACTCCAAAATCACAACTCAAAAAATATCTAAAACCAAAACATCGATATTAGTAAAAATAAATATCGATACATGTTTTAATTTAAATGAGTGGGAAAATCAATGAAGAAAAATGTTGCAATTAACTAACCGGAATCTCTGAAAATATCGGTAGACTCTTTATCAGCAGCAGTAACAGATTTTAAAATTGAAGATGGTGGTAACGGCTCTGGTTCATTTTCCTGCATTTGTAAATGAATAAAGACAAAATGCATCTATGTTAACAAAAGACTTAGGAAACTTACTTTACTTATTATAACATTTTTTATCTCATTTTGATAGTTCGATAATGTTTGATGATCGGTAGCTTGATATAAATCAAGTGCAGGAGCAACCTATAACACACTACTTAATTTGTAAACATCAAGCAGCTATTAACACACTGAAAAACCACCACAGAATGTCAAATTTCAGCAATTTTTGGAGGAATATTAGTCAAAGAAAACAACTGAAAACATGAATTATCTCGAAAGATCAGATTAGAGAGCCAACTTTAAGATAGAACTTACAATTTCTGAATTTGAAAACACAGTTATTTTTTTCCGTCCTTCATCAACCTAAAAGAATATAAAGCATATTCGGTAATAGTTGGAGTGTTTAATTCATAATAAAATGAATCTTAAAAAACGAGCAAAGTAAAAAAACGCTCATTTCGACATGCTATTTTGAGACATCATTTTAAAAAGATATCTTCTGTTAGACCTCTGTGCTAGGTGATAAAGACGACAGAGAATTATTGCTTTCTGGAATAACATCGGTAAAAAGATGATTGTAATCAGTGTTACTTGCGATTTTTCTAGCCTTAAAATCATAGCAATAAACATCAATTTTGAAATGATAATAACTTCTTTTCATCATAATTGAAATAAAATATCTTCGAAAAACACAATTTTCGGAAATTTATATTCATTGATTCCATATTCCTTTAACTAAGTAGGTGTTAATCAAGTGTTAAGATAATGTCCAACTATGAGGTATCTCTCGCCAAAAAAAAGTTAGCATAGATAACTCAAACCCAAAAATGCTGAACAGTAATATTATTACTAATTCCATTAAAAACTGATGATACTGATACCTCTATCAATTTTTCATCATCGTTTTCTTCTTTGTATTCAACAATGTCATCGTCGAAATTATGAAATTTTGAAGCAGTAATTCTTTCAGATACTGAAGAGTCTTCCTCATCCTGTTCTACAAGTGCATCATATTTACTCAAGGAAAGCTTCTGCTGGTTGACTCCGCTTCTCTGACTGTTACTCTGCAGTAAACAAAAACTACTGATTTAAAGATCAATTGCAGCTTTTTTTTCCAAATACCATTATATTCATGATAATAATGTGAACAGATTCAATTGGAACAGTGAAAACCAATCTTTCTTGACTGCTCTGGTCATGAAATTCTTTTGAGAGAATAATCCAACCTTATATATGGGCATTTTACAGCAAGCGTTTGAAAAACAAACTAACAAAACTTAACTAAGTAACTCGAAGAAAAAATTGAATACTTCAAAAAGTAATTACGCTAACATCTTGCGTAATAATTTCTAGAAATCAAACAATTATAATTACATTGCTTTCTTTACACAAACTGACATTATCATAATCTGCTGGTATAAAGCTGAAAGGGTCGCCTCCTGACAATGTCCACATATCATCGTTTTTATTACTATCATATAGATCTGAATGTGACCCTTTCGTCGACACATTACTGAATACATCCTACAATAATGAATTTTTATCAGAAAATGCTATAGATCATTAAACGATTTTGCAATCGTTCAAGTGAAGATAAAGAGTCCAAAAAAATGAGTTAAACAACAATTTGGAACTTTTACAGCGACATTCATCTCACAAGAAAAAAATTGTCTTTGTTTAAGAGTGGTGAATATCATAATACCTGGGGTAGTTTAATTTTCTCATCCCATTCGAAACATTTTGAGTTGCTCTTTCTAATGAGCATATTAGGCATATATTCACCAGAGGATAGGTCTAACTGAAATGTGTAATATTTACAATAAATAAGTCATGCATAAATTTGACTTACGTTATTGACCATAACTAGAATACAGATCTGCACAGGAATTATAAATTCATAACGCAATAGATTAAACACTATTGCTCTTAAAAAAGTTTAATGACAGCATGAATTATTCATAATGATTCATTTTGTTTTAGATGAAGTAATGAATAATAAGTAATTCGAAAAGGTTACTTACATCTTCTATATCATCTGCCTCATCACCCATGATTAAAACGTACATTTCAGCTAACAAAGCTTTTGGATTCTGAATTGCAAGTTTGTTTTTAGCCATTTGCCCAAGCCTCAAAAGAATAAAAGAAAGTAGATTACCACCCAACTTAGCAAAACAAGAATGCAAATTCAGATTTAAACTTCGAAGAAAAAGAATTAGAATTAAAACATTTATGTAAAGAAACCGAGTTATGGATGGTCGTGTAGCAACATGAGCCACAGTCATGACATTTAATAAAGAAAACACATCTGCATTGTTCGATTCAGCGGCACCGGCAAATCGGAGGACTTCTCCAAGACAAAATACATGTACAGCCCCTATATATAAAGAACTATATTTTAACTTCCGAAGCAATTTTTATGATGGGAATACAAGAATGAGAGCTGGAAACCCATAAAAAAAGTATTTGATACATACGCTACATTTCCTGAAGATTTTGTTTTCTGACGAAAACTTAAAAATTATTCTAATTTATGATGCCGATCAAGTTCTTTACATGACACAATTTGCTCAAATATCTAGAAAAACACTATCACTGAAGAAATGGCATGTCATTTGCATGTAGATACATTACCATAATCAACATCAGTATTCCCTTCCAATATTTCTGGAGGCACATACCTACTGCTTACTTCATTTCTTCCAACGGACTTAATCTGAAAAACTCAAAGCTACAATTAAAAGAGTAAATCATGTTCTATTTAACTGTCCAAACAATATTTGTGGACGGCACATTTTTCTAACACTTTGCAGTACGAATAAATGCATCCTGAATAAGTACGACGCTTTTTTGGATCAAATTTTTCAAAGTGAAATTCTTATCTTCGACTAAGAAACGAAATTTTAAAATTTGTGACTAATTTTGGAAACAAAAAAGTATTGAAAAAGTTGATCATTTACGAACCTCAAGTTCGCCATCAGTGTGTAACACGATATGTTCTGGAGAAAATAATCCAGCAGGTACTTGAGAAAGAACTTCGCAGGCGATAATAATTAATGCAAGTAGTTCATCATCGTTTAAGCCACATCCTCGCACCTCAATTATTTCTGACAGTGATACACCTACGTCACCCATTAATTCCCTAAAAAAATCAAAACAATGGTCAAACGCAAAATAATAAATAATCACGCGGTTCATCAGCCAGTATAAACGTATCGATGTTTATTAGACTGTAACAAGGTGCTTAATGAACCTGAAATCGCATGTACCATTCCTGGAGTCAATAACTGAATACCATAATTGCTCATCCTGAATTCGAGATAACGAATGTGATAATTGCGGTATCTAACTCAACAGAAGTGGTATATCATGATCACGGACGATAGATCTCATCGTATTACACAGCAAGAAATGAATTTACAAGTGTAAAGCAGTCATGCAAAGCCGGGGATTCATCAACAGTTAGTAGCAAAAAGGCTGTAACCACAAGTAGAACATACTGCTTGGCTGACTTCACTGCACAGAAAATAGGGAGTTGTTGCAGCCTATGGTCAATCTTTCAGAAGTCCATGCTACGCTGTGAAAACATAGTTCCTCTACGAACCACACGCTTCTTTGCGATCGAGGAGTTACACTTACATTCCAGCAGCCTTGACTTCATTTATATCTCACCAACTCATAACTTCACGGATAAACATGCCATAATTAGCACAACTTCACTAACTTTGTCTTAAGTCATGCACCAAGCCCACACTCCCATGAAAATGTGAAGTGTGGCGTCCTCACACCAAAGTCAATGTAACATACTCGTAGAACTAGAGCCTAGTCCAACAGACACATCTCCAGAAGCATATTACCAAATCTGCTAAAGTACACTCATTTCCACTTTGTTTTCTCATGCAAAAAATCAAGAAATACACAAGACTAATTATACTTATTGTCAGTGGAATGCTCCTTCGTCACTGTGAAAATGCTAACAAAAAAACCTGTACTATCGTACAAACTTTATTCATAATAAAAATGTATCATTTAAAACAAAGTTTTTTATTGCGACAAAAGGAAGGACAAAACTTTAAGCAAACATAGCATTCGTACTGGCAACGGCACCCAATAGCTTGTCATTCATTATTGCATTATTCTGAAAAAAAAAAAAACTAACTCTAGAATTTGTCATCAAGGCTATCATTTTTCATATATGAAGAAAGGATACATTATTGTTAAAAAATGAATATGATAGAGGACGCAGTAAACTAAATATTGAAAACTTTTTAAAACCTGATATCCTAGACCTTTCGTAATTCATGTCAGTTATAGAAAAAACAAATCATACGTGACAAATACACGAATAGAATCTAAAAATACACAGTAGAAAATCCCTTACGTGATACTGCATTTTTTGATCAGAAAACGAAGTTTCAAAATCTGCAGGAATCATCGGCATCTGCCTATTCCACATATCACAATCCAATTTTTCAGGTGGGCACATAGTTCGAGCTCCCTGCTGGTACATACTATACCTATGAAAGATTTAAAAAAAGATCAACACAACAAATAAAGACTATTAACACAAAAATTAATGATGAAAAAGCTCTTCATGCTACAAATAAGACTACTTAAAGAAATAAGGTCTTACTCTTTCGACTGCGATGGAATATTACCACCGTTCGAAACAAAGTTAGGATGAAAACATGGTGGTCCAGAACCATTCACAGCAGGGTAATTTTGGGCAGTGGGATATGTATTCTGAGGATATGGACAACACATGAAATTACAATGAGTGTACTGCATACTACAAGCAGTGGGATTAAGAGATGGCCTTAAAGGTTGAGACATCGGCATGTTAGGACCCGAGGTCTGCGGTAATGGGACTATCATTGGAGTGTTCATATTAGAAATAGAAGTCGGTTGTTCAGATGAATGCATTGGTTGTGGATAAACTGCTCGTCGACATGGTCCTTGCATCAACATACCATTTTGACTAGGAAAATTACATGGAAAAGGGGAAGGAATTGATGCTTGGGAACAATTTGCCATCAAAGGAGGCATGTAACCACGAGCCATTTTAATTGCTTCATGTTCATGCATCATTCGATCCCATTCTGTTCTGGCTTTGTCATACATTATTTGCTGTTCAAGAGTTCGCATTTTCTCTAATTTAGCATTGCGATCTTGCTCCCTAAAAATTAATCACATATTTTTTTATACCACAAATAGAACTAGTGAACAATATTTGATATAGAGTGAAGCCAGCATTGATCAACATATAATTTGTGAATAATTAAACAAAAAATTCCTCCAAAACTTCTAAACTGAACAAAAAACTTAAACACTTTACAAAACTTGACTACATATCTAAATAATGCAAGTAAATCTATAAATTTTTATAAAGAACAACAAGTTAAAGTGATCTACACAGTTTTTATACAGTGATAGCATCAGTAATTATCAGAAAAATCTATTCGAATTTCTATTAAAAAAAAACCTTCTTGCAGGATAATTATTTTCAGCAGATGTACGACTTAATTTTGAGGGAGGCTCGAAGAGTGAATCCTGCGTCATACGTTCCATACGCCTATAAACAAAATGAAAACATACACTACCAGTCAGATAATTATATGAATAAACAACAGTTGCGGAGCTTTAAAAGCAAAGAAATACCTTAATGGGTTATCGCCAATATCAGTTTGATCATCAGGATTGAGGAGTTCTGCAGAAGTCATTTCTGTAGGATTACCAGATGGATTACCATTCAATTCCATATTATGCGGAACTGGGAGCAGAGTGCTTGATGATGGACTGCAAACCGAGGGTGTGCCACATGATGTCATCGGTGATCCCATCCGCATGTCTTGCTGAAATGTTCTTACTTTCTTCCTTAAAAAAAATGAAATGACATTTGACTAGATTTTGAAAACCATTTCGCCAGTACATATAATCATTAAATAAGAGCGCTTCAAGATGACTAGGCGCTCAAAAAAATCATGCGCTTTCTTTTTATTGCCACTTTTACGCACTCAGTAATTAATACGCTGTAGTCATTGGAACCACATTGTAATCAATAACTAATCTGAGATCAGATACTTTTTCTTATTTCCTACATCACAGCTAGCAAACATCTAGTATTATTATAGTGTCCAAAATCCATTTCACAAAATATACGGACCACATTGCAACGCTTTTTATTTGGCAAAGGCACCGCCTGACTATCACTCACGAAAGAACCCTTTGAAGTGCTTGGCCGACAGTTAGCTTCATGCCAAGCAATGATTGATTCAAATTTCTTTTGTCGTACGCCAATAACAGCATCATTTGCCATTTTTGACGAAAAAACATAAACACGTCGCCTTAGCTGTAACAAAATATTTACTTTTATTAGAGAACTGAGTAAATTATCTTAATAGGAAGGAGAAATATTTCACATCAAAACCACAGAAACCAAATTTTCAATGCAACAAAGGTAATTAGGCACCTAAAAACAAGTACAAACGAACTAACTGCTACAATAAATTAAGCATACCAAAAATTTCATTTCTTTCCATATATAAATTACTATCAGGTCAAATACATCAAACTGCACCATCTTGTTAATCATATTCATCAAATCTTTTTATATTGAAGCTTTACCTTCTGTCGAAAAGTGAAATCGCATTTTGCAGTGGAAGGTGATCTTCTAGAGTCCACGGTCGGGACTTGAATTTCTTCAGCACCATGTATATATCGACCACCAAATCCAGGCCACGAATTAGCTGATGGATAACTTGGCGATGGAGTTGAAGTTTGCTTTAAAGTGACCGATGTCGGATTTTTAATACTGTAAAAATCAGAACATTCTTCACCTACATCAGTTGTGGTGTCAGCTTTACAGTGCTTAAATGTTGCAAAATCTTGAGCAGTATAATGATGATTTGGATGTGTTGGAGCACCCTTATCCAGTGACATCTAAACAGATGATCTGCAAAAAAAAGTTGATAAGAGAAAGTATGCCGGTTTAAACATTAACTAAATGGTGTATGACGTGTTTAAGCGTAAATAAGTTTCTACAAGAAAAGATTTTAAAAATTATGGTACAACTTGGATCGATAACAATAAATGCATAATATATGTCACATTACAACCGTTTTTTATAGGAATACGTAATGGAGAGTTTATCTAGAAAGTTACACTGTGCTCATATAAACAAAAAGTACACAACTCTTTTGCACTTTTTGCAGCTAACATCGATTTTTACTCTTTAACCAATTAGACTTTTGCTACAACTTAGAAAGGAAAGAAGAAATAATTAAGCAATCATTATTATGTGACGACGAGCGAATAAATGAGCGATCATATGAAAAAATATCAAAATGTACTGCTTGCGACCAAAAAATAGACGTACAACGTCCGCAACAATAGTAATTGACTATGCAACCCACTTCCATGTGCATATTTACATAAGTGGTACAGTCATAAAGAGTACAACTATTTGCGCAGTAATTAGCAAATGAAAATCTAGAAAAACTCAACAGAACCTAATTTGCTTTAATTTTATAAAATTAAAATTAAATTTCAAATTACTCAGTGACGTGAAATTACGTCACTGTATCCCCTTCTTTAAGACACTTTCATATAACGAACTTCACTACCCCTACGAAAACAAACCACTCTCGTTCAGCAGCTCATCACATCACTAAATTGTCACACAAGAATGCTGAGCGCAATGCAATTCTTATATCTCTCTACTATACGAATTTTTGTATAAACTAACAGCAAATGAAGTGGCTTATCATTCCCGTGTTCTTTCTATTTCCAGCAGAGGGCATGTACCACAGAAATATGCGAAGTGACTATTTTGCATAGGAATTATACGCAAATAGTTTCTAAAAGGTCATTTATTTTAACACCGAGTCGTTTAGTTAAACTTTGGTTTACTTCTGTACAGCTTGAGTGTTCCTAAAGTTCTGCCAGTACATGATGAGAGTAATTTACAGGTACGAGTAATGTAGATATTTTGTGATTTGTCTCTCTGTTGAATGCTTCACGGATTCTGACGGTCATTACTTCTATAATTGACAGAATAAATCGAATGGGTTCATTTACTCTCGTGTTAGCTCGCTTCAATCTTAGCAAGTAGAATAACTTGTTGCTTACATGTAGACACTATGTATTACTACATCAAATTTCCTTAACTCACGACTCCGCATTGCAATTAAATTCAAGTTAACTCACACAATTACGCGGTCTGATGATTTTTTAAAAACTATTTGTCAATTGAAATTACTTGTTACATTTTATTAGTTCCTTATAGTGCAGAGGTTGGGACTGTGACAAATATCAGTGGTCAGCAAAAATAAGTGGGATATATATTTTTTATGACTATTTCTTGTTAAGACATGATACAACGTTCCAGCGATTCTTATTTTGGCAGTAAAACTTTTTATTGTTCACGTTGACATTATATTTCGCGTTTTCATTTTCAATGTCTTAAGAAGAGCTGAAAATTCGTAAACGATATTTGAAGAATTGTAGGATTTACAGTGTAGATCGCATGAAGCATGACTCAAGTTCGGGCTGTGTATGAATTCAAAGCACAGCCAAATTCCGGCGAGTTATCAATTTCAGTGAATGAAATCTTAACGGTTGTTAGAGAAGTAAAGATTAGTCATTTCTGTTACGTTAAACGACTTTGCATGTCAAAATTTAAATCTATTTTTGTTTGGAGCGCGCTAGTATTACTACTGTCATATATAATATTTAACATTGAATATCATATGACGATCAATCTTTTCTTCATTATTGATTCTGGCGCTGGATCGTATTCGGGTATTCTCGCTGCACTCGTCCCGTGGTCAGTTCAGCTGTGTTCATCTCCGCTGCTTCGTCCTCGTTGGATGCACGCCGCTAATCGAATGCGATGCTTTCAAGCACTTCTTGAGCATTGACTACTGGATATATGCTCAATGTGATCAAATATGCTGATGTCCTTCGAGTAGCGCTTATGGAAGTGTGTCACTATCCTATCCCATGTCATCACATACGGAATTATTTTAATCCTGCATTTCATCTCTGACCCAAGCTTATTAGCAAGTAGGTCATAATTTCGCTTGTTCTCCATCTCGACTGCTGTCAACCTGTCCTGACTAGTGATGCCAACCTCTATCAGCATTACTTCACGTCGCTTCTTATCGTGTACCAGGATCTCCGGTCGATCCGCTTTTATTTTGATTGCAGTTCTCACTCGCGTATCGACTATGATCTCTACGTTCTCATTCGCGACAACCTCCTGAACATAATGCTTCTTTCAGACTATACTTCTTGCAGAGTTCCAAATGGATATATCGCAGGACCTCATTGTGTCTTCTAGTATAGTCGTGATGTAACATTTTTCCGCACTGCGTTTCTAGATGGTCCGCCGTCTTCACAGGTTCCCCACAATGTTAACACATGCCTTTCTCAGCTCTTACCATATTTTTACCTTGAACGTAACGGCATCGTCTTTCATATTGTGGGGGTAATGTTACAGTATCGTGGTCACATTGATGAATTAGCTATCGATAAGAGCTTGAAAACTTATTCGTCAGATCTTGTATATAGCTGTGCATGATGGGTTGGTTAGCTTTCTATTTCGCCAGTTTTGCCGAGTTGGCGATCGATTAAACTACCAGCTAGTCGAATCGCATTACAAAGCAAGAAATGGAGGACAAACCGAAAAAAACCGAGCCTGGGATCATAAATGGCAGGTAGAAAACACGTGGGGTTGTTAAATAAAGTTTCGTAGGATATGTGACAACAGACTAGTGTCTCGGAACCAGCAGAATTGCATGTTGGGTAAGTACAGTGGGAGTGCCGGAGCACGGTCCGACCCGAGAATCAAGAAGACAGAAAAAAATATTAACCTCTGACTTGCTACGCTTGATGTATTACTAGTTAAGTAATGTAAGCAAAGTTTAGAATCTATTAATATATATGACATTGGTGATACTGACAGCTACGCTTCTATATATTGCTCAGTTATATTTTTATATTCACAATGAGCAAAAAAAAAAATCTAAATTGATAATTAATTCAGTTACTCAATATCTTTCATCATCATTATAGGGTATAGAAGGAGGATGGCTAGAAGGCCGTAATGCAAGAGGACAACATGGCCTTTTCCCAGAATCCTACGTTGTAAAAATTATCGATCCGCTTACTATTCAAGAAGTAAATTTTTTCTGGTTCTGAGCAAATTCTTATTCATCCGTATCATAAGGGGTAATGACGTCATTTTTCAATGATGGATTATTTCAGTTCTTTCATGTTTGCATATTCTATCAGTTTTATGATTTGGAACAAAAAGATCTGGTTTTCATATAAGTGTTTTCAGTTTTCGCTTTACCTTGGAAGCATCTATATTAGAACAGTTTTCACTTCCATTTTTCTATAATCCTATTTATACTGATATCACGGTAGAAAATGATCTAAAAATTAGTAGTGATTAAACGTGCTGCTGTAATAAGCAAAGTTTTAGCTCCTGTCTAGTGAAGAAAATGAAACCGTTTCTAGATATTTCATTGACTGATATTTAATATCTGTAGTTTATTTGTTTTTGTGAAAGAATGGTACTGCTCATATAGATATGAAGGCTGATGTATTTTGAATGCCATTCTAACTGGCCTTTACTATTTGTATTCTATTTTTTAGTTTTGTGACCTGCGATTATTTGAGATAGTTGTTTTCTGGACAGATTGTTTCACTTCGCTGTTTTTGTTTCGTTTGTTAAGCAGTTTTTTTTTTTTTCGGTGTATGTAATTTTTCTTGATTCTTTTGCATTTTTTGATGTTGTCTTTTAAGACAGCTGTGCTTCCTCATGATCAACCTGATTACGCTGTTCCACCACTTGATGACACTTGGAATGCATTACCAGCTCCGGTTTATCCAAAATTACCTAGTCAATCACATGAAAAGGTAATTACTGCCATTTTTCTGTTCAGTTGTTGATGTGCAATTTCTGACGTATTTTATTCAATTGTATTGAATATTTTGGTTCGTTTCTGATTTAAACTCACTTTTTGTGTTCTGCTCCTGTTCAACTCAGAAGATAAATCCCATCAAAATAATTATGTTTAAAAAGAAATTCGATATAATCTTTGGTCATATTATTTTATCTACTGAAATGGCAGAAGCAGTTGAATGCCGTGCTTAGTTTCAGCATTTGCATGATCCATCGGCACCTTCAATACTTGGATTACCTCATGACGATGACGATTTTGATGACTGGACTGAAGACGACGAGGAATTGTCGGTATGCGATCATTTCTTTGTGAACTGAGTATTATCTTCCAGCTCTCTCTGTTGCTGCTCTAGATTGTTATTGTGACCTCTTTTTTGCATGTTTCACATCAGTTAGCTTAATTATTTTGTTTAACCTCTTTGGAAATTTTTTATTTTGTATCTTCTATCGTAATATAATTGTAATTGAAAATGATGCTATAGAATGCCTTTACGGTAGTCTAGTTTCCTCACGTTTTAGAAGCTGATTGATGAGTGTCGAAACTTTTGGTTGGCATTGTACAGTTCCTTCAACTATTTGAAATTCTGAGTAACTGTGATCAACTTGAAATTCAGTTTTGCTTTCAAAAGCACATGTTTCAAAAAGTCGTTGTACTTATATACGTTAACTGTTTATCTTCATAAATATTGGAATTTTAATAATATTCAGCTTTATGCCATTTCAGGAGAATGCTTTGAATATAGGTGAAAATCTTGAAGTACAGAGTTACTTGTTGAATAGTCAAGTTACTCGAAATGATACATTGGTTAAACAAGGAACTGTGCGAGTTAAAAACATAAATCGGTATGTTTTTTCCCTTGTTTTTATTCTTAATGCTTCTGTTTAAACAACTATAGAAATCTAAATTTTCATCTTAGTAATATCATGAGTGTGACTGAAATCTGCACTTCTAAAAATGTTTGATTATAAAATGGGTCTGTTTCCAGATTCTCGAATTTTGTTAAATCAGGTATGGAGGATTATATTCTTCTCAGTTCGAGACTTGCATCCAAAGCAGAAGAATGTCATGAAATCCTTGTAGGTTTTATATATAGTTTTTATGCAAGTTTATTAATCAATTTCATGATTTTTATTATATTACCAATAACGCTTGATGTCTCAAAAATTTCATTATTTTCATGTAATACATTCATTTCAGCGAACATCAGATAGGGTAGAATGGATTCCAGTTGCTCAGCCATATTTTTGTATTGTTGATAAGCCAAAAAAAGAATCTAAATTGAAAGGATTAAAAAGTTTCATTGCATATAGCTTAAAGTCTTCTCTCAGCGGTATACAAGTAAGTATAACTTTTTCAGTGACTGGCTGTTGTACATAAATTATTAATCATAAATTCATAAAATTTGTTATAGATTTGGCAGTAAATATTAAGTTCCGTTGATGTTTGAAAAAATGCAAGGATAAAACATTTGTCATTACTCATGTATTTTCTAGAATTTTTTTGATGACATGAAATCCTTGTAGGTTTTATATATAGCTTTTATGCAAGTTTATTAGTCAATTTCATGATTTTTATTATATTACCAATATTTTTTACCAACATATATTACCAATATTGTATTACTCTGTTGACGACTATAAAATTCTTAAATATCAACTTTTTAGGTTTCTAGACGATACAAACATTTTGATTGGCTTTATGAACGTATGTCAGCAAAATATATTTTAATACCACTTCCACCGCTTCCTGAAAAGCAAGTTGCCGGTATGGAACTGTTTTATCATTTATGGTATGACGTATTTTTTTCTAATGTACACAATACTCAGGTCGCTACGAGGAAGATTTTATTGAACATCGTAAAAATATCTTACAAATTTGGGTGAACAAGGTATGTAGACATCCTGTTTTGAGTAAGTCGGATGTATGGATACATTTCGTAACATGCACAGATGAAAAGAAGTGGAAAAGTGGTAAAAGAAAAGCGGAAAAAGATGAATACGTTGGAGGAAATTTCTTGTATTCTGTCACGGTTCCAAGTCAGCCTCTCGATAGTAATGATGTGTAAGAATTCTTCACTTATTCCAAATAATTTGTAATTAAAATTGGTTAGTGATCTTATTAAATGTGCACTAAAATTACGGTACATATATGCTCAAATGGCTTACTGGTAAAAATGGCCTTTTAGTGAATGAATTACTCTATTGTAGATGATTATTCTGATGATTCAGTAATGGCAAAGTTTCTGTTACCATCAGCTTTTTCAGTCAGGGTTCGTTAATCAATTTTAGCGCTTACTTTTATTGCAGTGAACAAAAAGTGGACAATTTTGCTCGTTCAATGAGAAGTTTTGAAGAAAGCGCCCATTTAATGTATAATCGAGTCAGTGAGACCCATAAAAGATTTTGTGGACGTAAGTTTACTGAATTTCTCGATAATGTGATCTTTGAAAGATACACTAGGTTCAGTTGAAAAGGATATGCTTATTATTTGATCAGTATATCTGCAGCATATAAAACAAATTGGCAAAAAATGGGAGAAGCTTGCATTCGCCTCTGTCGATCATTTGATATGGATCTAACACTTAGTGAGCTTTCTTTTTTTCACATAAAATAGTTGATTTTTAACTTCAAGAATATTTTTGCCCAAAAACCTCAACTCGTTTATCATATCCTCATACACAGTAAGTGCATTTGTTTTTAGGGAATAAGAAAATGTTGCTTAATAACTTCTAATTTTCATCAAAATATCATGTTATTGACAAGTTCTCTCAGTGAATTTGAAGATAATTGTGTAATAGGAAAATATGTATTTGTTGTTCAAGATATGTAAAAAACTTGTAAGCGTGATAATTTTCTTAGAAAATGAAAATGTTACGAATGCTTTGAATGAAACAGCAAATGTGCTTCACTGGATTGGAGATGAGCATGAAAAATCCGCAAAAAAATCGTTGGATCCATTACTAGATGCCCTATATTCATGTAAAGGCATGCTTGCTTCAATACCAGATGTTGTTAACGTCCATAAGGTATTGAGTTTGTAGCAGATATTTAAAGTTCACAGATTTTTTATTTTTGAAATATATGTTACAGTGCTTGTAAAGCAATATATATTCCCGCATTTATTTTTATCCTTAGAAGTTATTTTTAAGAAGCAAGTTTTTGTTTTTTTCTTATTTCTAGAATCATTACATCCGTGACGATATCTAACCATTCTGGTAATAATCAGGCATTCTTCCTTACTTATTTTGCGACAAAAATATGATAATTTGTTTTTGTCTGATTATTGGTTACTTTGTATCCAATGTTCTTTTTTTAGTCAGCAGTGTCAAAATTACGTGAAAATGAAAAACTTGCGATGGAAGGGCGTGTTTTAAGTGCTGATGTAGGAAAAGTGAAAGAAAGAGTTGATTCTATCAGTTACGTGATGCTTGCTGAGATGGCTTTTCAAAGTCATGAATTAGGAGAAGATATCAAAAATATGATGGCGGCTTACCTAGAAAGTCAAGGAGAATTTTACACGAATATCGGTAACAGGCTAACTAATCTTGCTCGAAAGTTTAGGGAAGCTTGAAGATTGTATAAACCACATCTTTGTATCATGCTCAAGCTTTATTTATGGAAGCAGTTTGCTTTTTCTACTATTATAGAATTATTTTCCGTAATGAATTTGTAATTCTAATCGTTTTTCCAGTTCGTCAAAATAAAGGTTTGTAGTTTTCCATTGTTATATTCAGAACTACACTGCTTCCAGTTACCGCTTTGTGAAAAGTATGTATAATAGAAGACCTTGTAGTGTATACTCTTCTAGTAATGTTTATTAATAAAACTCTGTTACTAGCCCCAAAAAACAGTAATATTTACAGAACGAACGTCCTCATACCTTAGTGTGAAAAAGACCATGTTTTTCCATTCGTTTTATTTCTAAATCTCTCTGTGAGGCATGTTATTGCATATTTAATGTCTGATCCTTCTTGCCTCTCCTTCAACATCTCTCTAATTTGAGTGTTCCGTTGTTCATTTCTTTGTTACACAATTATGGATTCAAACTTGAATCTTTCTTTATGCTCTTCGCGATTCTATGCAATGGTTTTATTCTTCATTCCATATACATGTGCATAATTTAGTATTTCACTATTTGCTATGAAAGTCACGTTAATATGAGTCACATTCCTGGCTCTCAAGTTGTAATTGAATGAGCTTTGTAATAGAAACATAACCACTTGGTGGAGAGACTTCATACTTTCTTTTATGGGATTTCCATACTTTCAGTTATGTATCGCGTTATAAAGCATATTGAACTATTTATATATTTCATATTTTTAAAAGTTTGGTTCGAATCAAAGAATACCTATAATAGTTTAAAAAGTAAGCTTTTCGTTCTCTTCTATCTTTCCAATTATTTTCTGTTGCATCAATTAATAATCCATTTTATTGATCTAAGTTACTCTTAAATTTGTTGACTGCAAAAAAGCGACTATAAGCAATAAAGCGCTGTTTTATGGGAATATTACAAGATTTCTAAATTTTATGCGATCGTATGCAGGTTTGCAAATGAGTATTACTCCAGAAACTGCGAATTACATTAGGATAATATAATGGCTTCATGCCTAGAATTTCATTAGACTGAAGGGTGAAGTAAATGTTTTCGTAGTTATAATTTCTGATGAAAACAGAAGGGAAAGGTAGTATTCAATAGTAAATGCTCTGGTAAACAGCTAATTTTTGCTTTCTTGGAAAACATAAATCGAAGTTTTGTGACAACTAAATATTTTTATCAGACGATGGGCAACGGTGAATACGAATAATTCTCTCGGAACAATATAAGGCTGCAAGAAATCCATGATAAGCACTGAGAGCAGTCAAGTTATTAGATGTAAGAGCAATATCCTGAACTGGCTCAAACGTACATGTGTTTAATTGACGGATTGCGGATCTACCAATATCATGAATGAAAAGTTGTCCAGTATCATCGATGCACAACAGACCAGGCTTTTCGACTGCAGAAATGATACTTCTTTTGCATATTGTGGAATCTCTAACACTTAGCATCCAAATGTAGCCTTTTTTTTGTTCTACTATTAAAAGTTGCGTGATGGAATCGATTACAGCCAATATCTGCAAACTTTATTAAAAGAATGGAGATATATCTAATAGAAAACTAGAGTAGTCTTATTTACAGTACTTGAGTTCTCAAAAAAATTATTTAAAAGCTGCATAAAAAGAAATCGAACAGGACCACCTACCTGTATATTTCCAAATCTGACGTCGCACCTGTAACAAAGTTCTGTCCATTGGCCATCACTTGTCAGTTCATAGAGTGCCGAAAATTTGTCACCTGTAACACACAAATATATGTAACCGTTCGGTGCAACGCACATGTATTCTTTTCTAATCGGTTCATCTTCAATCCACTTTGGTCCTTCGATTTTTGCAATGAACTGCATTTTATTATCAAATTTCATTAACTGCCGTCTCCACACTGCTTTTCCTTCGATTTCGATTCTTACTACTGAAGAAAGCTGTAATGCACAACATGTTATGATATTTCATTCAGACTCCTGATTGCATATACAAACATTAAATAAGCAAGTCAAACAGCAGTTGCTTAAGAAAGTCTTATTATCGTGTACCAACGCTGCACTGTGTACTGGAAACGAAAGCAATAAGCAAACTCAAATATATCTTCCATGCTAAAAAAGTATATTATTCAGAAATGGAAACAAAGACTTGTTTTAAACAAGGGTCAAATATCTGTTAAATTCGCGTAGTTTACTATCTTGAGTCGGATGCAGAGGATACTTTTTAGCATTCTTCTTTAATTAAGGAAAGTAATAATGCTTACTTATCGAAAGTATAAAGTCAATAGTCCAATTCCATTGAAGTCTACTACAACTGTTTCTATAAAAATACAGATTTTCCACGACCGTCAAATGTAATGAGAAACGCAGAATTCTATTAGAAACAAAAAATTTTTAATTACGTAATAAGTGTCAATAATTCAAACTCATTCATCTTTTGCATATTGCTAAGTACAATAAAACACGTTCATTTTGTTCAGAAGTAGCTGTATTTGGAAGTTGAAACATTTACCAAGATCTGCTTATCTGCAGTACAAACAGCACACTGTGGCCATTTCCATACAGAGCTGGAAATTGCTCTTATGAGTCCTGAGTGTACAGAAAAGAGTAACAAACCAGTATTGTAATCAGCTACAATAATTTCGTCAGTATTCTGACAAAATGCAACGCTGTTCGGTTGTGATAAGTCCTTGCAATTAACTGTTAAACTATCTATTCTCTGCCATTCTGTCCTTAAATAAATTCTATATCTATAAAGTAATAAAATATCAAGAATCACAATGAAATCACACGTCGGCATGTTTTCTTAAGTCTAGTCTTTGATTAATTTCTGATGAGCGACAAAAATAATTAAAAGCATACTGAAACAAAATGTGATCAAATTTGCTTTGTACTGTCAGTTCACTTGGTTTTTGATGTATTCTAAGATCGTCTAGCTGCTTCTCCAACTTAAAAAAATTAATTACTTTGACTTGAAGAACTGGAAATTGGTAAATGATCTGAATGGTTTGGAACCTGGCATATACTTCTATTTTAATTCTAGTGGTTAAAATATCAAGTACATGCTGTTTAACTCATATCATATTTCTGCGTCGACTGAAAATGATGAAGCTCAAAAAGTAATGATAATTATGAAAGCTTAACGTTACTAAGTTTGAAAATGCTTTTATATTTCTTACTTAAGGATATGATACTATGCCTTCATCATTAGGAAATAATGAAAAAAGAGTGTAATGAGAAGGATGCAATTTCTGCTATAATACTTGATAATAATGATAATATAACACTTCATTACTCTGTAACAAGTAACAAAAGTACGAATAATGTGGTAAAAACGAAACAGTTATGACCACAAACTTCTTGCTTGACGATAACAAGTTGTCTACTTTCATTTTTAACATCTATTTTTTCGGTGACTTTTTGCCATTCTTGTTGTTCTTCTTTCAATCTAGTATTAAGCTCTGTTATTATCACAACAATTTGATGAACATTTAAAAAGTACCTCTCATTCGATAATAATACAGTGGTCAGGCAAAACTTACAATAAAGAGGAATAAAATAGCAATATATTAAATTATCATAGGTTAGAAGGAGTAAAATTCAGAGACCGACCGACATAAGCGAAACAAAAAATGCGAGGAGATTAATACTCTTAAAGTAATATACATATTGATATATGGTAAATGATTTGGAATAATTTTTGAAAATGGAGTATACGGAGTAACCTGAGCAGTGCTTTATTCTGCTGTTCGGTTATTTTCTCGGAACAACTACATAAATCGCTGATTAAATCCATAGCTTGTTTCATATGCTCTTGTAAATTTTTCTCCATTTCAGTGAAATTAGTTTCATCACTGCACAAAGATGCTTTTTCGTCATTATCATTTGATGAAAAAATTTGATCTGACCGTGTTACTTCATGGTCAGTGTTGGTAATCTCCGTCTTGGCCTGCAATTGTAGATTCTACACAAAGCATTTAACTAAACTCTTCTGGTCAATATGCTGTTTCAAATCAGGTCATTCTTAGAACTAGACGACACGGAAAAACTAAGCAGTAAATTTGGAGATGGAAAGACTAAAGTCAACTATTGAAAGGAATACTGATGTATTTGCTGCCTGACATTTACTTAATCATTTTCATGAGTCCATCTGCCTATGCATATTAATTTCATATAGCGTCCGATTTAAATAATGAACAGTCCTCAATAACTTTAAAATGAATATTCAGTTACGAACATGAAATTCCTCCACCAAAGCTTGCATTTATTGCAATTATTTGAACTTTGCATAAAGAAAATACTCCTTCTTACTTACATAATTACTGATTCCTCACAAATAATTTTGAGATTAAACACATGCCCTATAAAATACATGAATGGTACACAAACCTGCAAAAATGAAGGTAATGTAGAGAGTTGAATGTTTTCATTTGCTTCTTCCCTAATCCAAATGATATCACACTTATCTTCCGCCATTAAAATCCAACTTCAGGTTAGTAGGGAGATGAGTGAAATTGAAGTCAGCAATACAAGAAACAACAAGAAACAAAAAAAACACTTGAACAGTTGCTTCAGAAAGAAATGCTTTTCTTAACAAATCCCTTCTTTCTCCTTCCCACACCTTAGCAGTTGCTACTTCAACCGAACAAATAACTAACTTTTTGCACGCTCTCACACTTATCTACTTATAATTCATTTCATCAGTTCATGTTCCATCCATTACTTACACCTTTCCTTTGGAGATCGCAAAATCTTGCTACTTTACTTTCTTTTAATCTTACTAACACCGCTTACCATTATTAACCATACCATATCACATACAACATGTCATACATCTACCGTAAAAGATCATCCTGTATGCAACATTTCACCTAACCAAGCATTCTGTAATGGTTAAGAAAAATAGTGCTTTAAATAAAAACCAATTTCAAATTTCTTAGAAACCTTACACCTACCTACAACATATGATGAATTCCTCACCCTCTTACAAGTTCTCAAGAAATTCCTGTACAAATAAACTATATATGCTTATTCGGAACCATTCGCTTACTTACATTCATATAACAGTTCTTGAAAACTTTTGTCATTCATAAACGGATTTATTTCATCCTCTAATGTAATTATTGCAATCAAACCCATAAACCCCCTTGACCATAGTTGAAAAAATCAATCACGTATCTTGTTTTCATGTTCATACGTTGGATTCATTTTAATCAAAATACTTTACACAATAGCCAGAACAAATTAGACTGATTTCCTATCGTGGAAGACTATCAAAAAATGTAGCCCCACGCATGGTAGAACTTTCTATTTGTAGTTATTATCCAGTACGCTTATCACGTCCATTCAATAAACATTAATTACAAACACGCGAAAAAGCATTTGCGACAACAGATGACCAAATATATAATTTATAATATAATAAAATAAAGTTAAATAAACTGCCAAATTGCCTGTCAATCTGCGACAAAAAAAATGTGTTCTATGTCAGTTAAATGAGATGCAATATTTAATCTAAATATTGCGACAACCATCTGAAACCTTCGCCATATCCTTGACGCCTTAAAACTGAACACATGAAAACTTCCATTGGTCTTGATGATAAATCAGTGCGCGAAATCTGCCCCTGCAATTGAGAAGAAATTAAATTAAAATGAGGCAATTTCAGGTAATAATGAGCAAGGAATAGGATTTAAAATCTCATGATCTTCTGCTTCATAACTGAAATTGTATATTGCAAAAAAAATGTATGAAGTACTTCACAAATCTATTTGAGTGAACCTTAGATGAGCAGGAAAAAAGTACCGAGCACTGGAAAGAAATGACAAACAAAGATAACTTGAAAGCTATGCTCAATACACCACAAACTGAATAAATTAATGAAAACAAATTCTAATCAACAAACTTTTCCAGTAGTTAAATTCGATATTCCCAAATGCCATTTCAGCTGATCTTCTCCTAAAGCACTCGGTTTATCAATCTTATTACCGAGAATTAGTATCGGACAGGATGCCACTTGTTCATCATTCAATAAACTTTCGAGCTAAATTTATATATGTATACAAATTTTTTCAAACAGTGGGGAGTTTTATTTTGACATATCGAAAGTAGATAAAATTTATCAATTTACTCCAATATTTTCAACCCCAAATGACTGATTAAAATCTAGAAGAACAGAACCTCACGCCTACTTTCTGCGATTCGCTCAACATCAGCACAATCCACTAAAAATACAACAGCATCTACAGCTGGAAAATAATCTTTCCAAACTCGTCGAGCTGAAAGTAAAACAATTAAGACACAACAAACTACAATTTAGTTGACAGAGTTTTGTAAACATGCTCAATCTCATTCCAATAAAAATATATCCGAGATACTTTGCGCAACAATTAATTCTCAAGCAAAATTCCAATGGTAAAAGATAATCGAAAAACCTTGTTCATGGCCACCTAGATCAAATGTTGTGAAGCGAATGCCACCAAGTGACAGTTCTTCTGAAGCTAAAACACTGACATGAACAACTCATTAATGAAACTAAAAACAATGGAACAAAACGAATTACTACCACATATAAGACTGATTTTGAATAATTCAGACATCAATCATGCGTGTAACAAAGCCCATTATCCTACTTTATTTATGAAAACTAATTTAATCTTTAACAGTAAGTTGCATATTTTATATTTAACAACTTATAGTAACAAAAAAGGATCTTCTGCTCAGCAAAATGTAAACAATATAAATTACAACACTAAACAGAAATAACTATTTCAAGGTAGTCAAGTAAGCCTACATGTCATACGAAAAAGCTTACTAGGATGGAGAGTTGGAACATGTTGCGCCATGCGATCGTCTTTTAACATATGCAGAAGTGTGGTTTTGCCAGCATTATCTAATCCCAGGAAAACTAATTTACCATTTTTCTTCGTCAAACCTTTTAAGAAAAGAAATGAAGTGCTGCATCAATTCCAACATGATATGGATATACGTTGAAATTAAGAGTTTTGTATTCTCGAAACACCACCGCCGTATCATGAAAGTAATTGCGCAGTTCAAACATGTTATCAGTAAAGACCTTACGAAAACCGCACACTTTTTTCTACGCAATATTTTCCATGAGCAGGTAAGTGACTCGAATAATTCAAAGATTTGTGCATGAACTGGAAGCATACTAGCGAATAACATATGAAATAGGCATACCAAGATAATTAAGAACGCCGGATACCCAATCCCATAGCCAAGACATTTTTCGGCGGTTACAATCGCCACTTTTTAGCTCTGAAGCTGGAAATATTCTAAATGAATTAAATATGCAATTTTCAAATTAAAAAAGTGAAGATTTCATGATGATATAAATGCAGTGATAACAACAGGAGACAATTGACCTTGAATAATATTTGATTTTTGTGAGAAATGTGACAAAACAGAGCAGTGAGTCATACATCAACTCTCGGAAAATGGTCTCAAGTTCGTACGATCTCAATAATAAACTTTGGCAAAATATGGAGTTCACAATAATGAATTATTTCTGAACGCAGTAAAAATAAGGAAAAAATGAAGGAATATGAACATCAGCAAACAAAATGAACATGAAGTTGAGCAAAAAAAGAGTCATTTTTGCCGAAAAAAAAGGATTCATTATTTACTTCTACGTGATCTGATAAAACCTCCCGAAACTAATTTGATAAGCACCGAAGTAGACTTGTTTTGAGTCTACAAATTTCTACCCCCACTCCTTACGAATATACAAAGATGGACATGAAACCATAAGTTAACAATCCAATTAAACGAACAAACGACACGTTCATCATTCTTGCATTTTGATACATTAAGGGCAGTGCTGTTGCCAACGTGTTAAGAACCATCTAACTTTTACAGCTTTAGTACTCACTTTCTTCACTTACGTCAATTTTGACACGTGTTAGAGACTAATAAGTAATAATGCTTAATGTATTGTTTGATTTTGCATGTGATTGCATAAGTCTCCCCACTTCACTTTTTTATTAATAACATTTGTTACTTTCATGATAATGCTGATAATAAATTGTAAAAGATTATCTTTTTTTGATTTAATTTACTTAGCATAGGACACAATTTTTTGTATTTTATTATGACGAATTGTTTACTTGTTAATATTTCAGCATTTACTGAAAAAAGAGAAGTCTAAAAATTACAAAAGAAATTACCAATGAGAAATGGAAGAGAGTGTACCGACGTGTTTTAACTGCCAGAACAAGCTAGTTTTGGATGAAACCATTTGTAGTAATTCACGGAATCAACATCAACCGTTTCCTGCTGATGTAACTTTTGCTTTTTTTCTCTCCACTTTTGTTAGATTAATTTTTGATTGTAGTTTTCTTTTCTTATTCATATCAACAAGTACTTTTTTGTTATGGCAAGGTGTTTTTGCAGGGTGATCAAATGCTTTGTTTTCACGACGGTCCTTCTGCCAAAGCTGGAAATCTCTTTGAAATTATTTGCAATTCAAATTCAGCTTTAAAAGGACCAATGTGTGAAGTAACAGTTTTGTCATCCACTTTACTGAGCATTCTTTCGTTCTTGATTTTTTCTTGAAGGAACATATAAACTTTAGGATTGTACAGACCAGTTACTCTCGGGAATGGACCAGTATCTGAGGGAGCTGGATGAAGAATGTGCACAGTATCGCAAATTGCTGGAGTCTTTAAAAGATGGAAGCAATATTCATCTACTGGACAGAAATATCGTAACTTCCAAGCTTTCTGAATTGAAAGTATGACAGGCATCTATCTCTTGTTTTGCAGAAAATTTATTTCTGTCATAATCAGTTCCTTCGTGGATAGTATTTTGCAAAAAAATGACATCCGTCTTTTGTAATGTTCAAGTAAACAGCAATAGTATTCGAATACGTAAGCTTAGTTCGATGTTCTATTTTTATTGTAGAAAGAAGAAGCTTCGTTGCTATCTGAGTCCAAAAAACTGGCAGCAGAAGAGGCGAAATTAGATGCAGAATTGAAAAAAAAGAAGAGTAAACTTCACGCCGAAAGTGATTCATCAAATCTGTTATGGAGAAAATTTCGCGATAACCACGGGTATATTTTTTCTTACTTTTCTACTATGCATTTGTTTTTATGTTTATTTTCGATCGCAAATTTTTAGTCTTTGTTTGTCTATTATACATTTTCGTGCATTTTCATTCATAACTCGCCATCAAGATTGAGCTATTAATGAATTATATTAGTTTTATCTCGTAATAAGAATATTTGTTGTTTTACGGCCGGTCATTTTTGCTTTTCATTCAAACCTTTCAATGTACAATACTGTTGCTGTAATTGATCTAGTGAATTGATGAAGATGGAAGCTAAAGAACAAGATTTGGAAGCCGAGGCACTATATTTAAGAAGTCTACGTGAGAGACTGTCAAAAATAAACGTGCTGAATACAGCATTCCACATCTGGAAGCAAGGAAGTTTCGGGACAATTAATGGTTTTCGGCTTGGTCAACTGCCGCATTCTCAGGTAGAATGGAGCGAAATCAACGCTGCATGGGGACAACTATCTTTGTTGCTTAATGTATGCATTGCATTTTTTAGAGCAAAAAAAAGTAACCCAACCTATAGCAATCTTTTTTTAATCAATATGGGATACCTTTTAGACTTTAGCGGCCTGTCTTGGAATTAAGTTCACACGATATCGTATTGTACCTGTGGGTAGTCATTCGTTTGTTCAGTGCTTAAACACAAGAGCCGAATATCCGCTTTTTGGTAGTGGAGGTTTCAAACCGTTTGGACAGAAAAAGTTTGATGAAGGTATTTGTGCTTTCATGGACTGCTTCTGTCAATTGCAAAAATATGTAGAACGTACTGAGGTAACCTTATTTCTTATACTTTCATTAGTATTTCCATGATGTAGGTCCGAAATTAAAAATCATTAATTGATTAGCAGTGGTACCCCTTACTTTATTTTATGTAGCATCTTTAATGTCAGTTTCATGTTGTATTCGGTACATGGAAAATCTCTGTAATTAAGTTTTAGTTTCGATTCCCACATCGGATGTACAGAGAACACATTGAGGATAATAAAATGGAATATTCGGTGAAGATGCAGTTCAATGCAGAAGAAAGATGGACCAAAGCAATGAAATGCCTCCTCATCAATTTTCGTTGGGCAATTTCTTACGTAGTACATGCCAAAATCTTGCATTCTGATACGACCTCCTTATGATTAGTACTTCAGTTCAAAGCCATGTAAATGTATAATTTTATCGGGTCATTTCACATTTTGATTTGGTACTCTGCTTTTTCTCCTACATTACTCAGAACTCAACCATACATCTTGTTACAGTACTCCTTAATTTCTTCGCTTCTACCTATCCTCTCAACATTAAAATTGTGTTACCCTCCTTCCCTCCATCCCTACCATCTTAATTTTCATCCACAGCTAGATTCCTTTCCTCTGGATGCCTACTTCAATATTATCTTATTTTATAAATAATGAAATGGTTTTTTTTTTCGTGATGAGGTCATTTACATAAGAATGGAAGACGCTGCAGGTACGCTCCTGCTCGTTTGTCAAGTGAAAAGTCGTTAGTTGAGCACTGACAGGTATTTTTTGTCTCATGATTGCAAAGAACTTGGTGTCGTGATTAATATTGATTCCATCCATCGCTTGTTCTCGTAGTTGTAATTTCTTCTGTCCTACTTTTCATTACCAAATCAACGAGCTGAAATGTTGTTTCTGTGCCATGAAAAAATTCTTTTCAATTTTTTTACCATTGATGTACGAAATTCTTCTTACATGTCTAAAGATCTTTTGGTGTCGTCACTCTCTCTGTACAGAAAGTATCCGCATTATTTATAAGAGGCATTTACGTGTTACTGCATTCAGGACGAATAACACGCAAATACTACTTGTCGATGATATTAAACAAGCTCTCTTCATGTCTGCTTACCACTTCTCTAGAAAAAGATTACAATTATCTCACTCTCTCTGTTATTTTTTGCTATCCGCATTACAATAATTACGAATATCGAAATTCCAGCAAAAAACTCAATAATTTATTTTTATTGAAGCACTCTATCCACTTTAGAAAATTTTATATGTAACCTGAAGCTTCTATGAGTTGGATAAACTTGTCTTGTATTAATTTTTCATGTAATTATATCACTTCTCATAGATATTAATCTAGTTAGTAAATAGACTATTTTAATGTGTTGCAAGCTTACAACTAGTGAGTATTAAAATCCGTGAGCAAAATTTCACCACATCTTGATTACATAGTTTTAATGAAGAACATAGCTACAACTCGACTGCGGTAAACTGAAATATTTTTATGAAACTGCTTGCACTTTCCAAAGACCATCGTTCAGATGATGAAGGTTATCTATGCCAATACCCTAAAACAGCAGGTCTCAAAGCATGTAGAATTTGGCATGCTCACAAGAACAGATATAATGCTTTTTCAGAATATAACACACGAAAAGGTTACCTTGTTAACGGTCATTATATCCTCTGGAGACATTTTAGTTAGGCCGATAGCTAGTGCGTGTTTTTTCCCCTCTGCCATAAGGGCAACAATCTGAAAACTTGTGTTAAATATCAAGGACTCATGTTTCAGAAAAAAACAAGGTTGAAATAGACAGTCTTGTGGCTAGCATATTCCCCGTAGCTTTAACTTTTTGCAACAGAAGTCAATTTAAAAGAAAGTAATAAGTTCGGAACATACAGAGTCTTTAGGGACACTCATGTTCAGCTTTGCACCTGGACTAGTTAAGCCGCGACACATGATTTGAGATCCATTGAGAACAAATTTAATCGCACCTTTGTCTACCTTAAGCTATGAGGGTTAAATATATTTTATTTCGGAACTTTACGTATTCTACATTTCCACACACGGTCTCAATTGCCTCACGCTAAAATATTTACGAAATAATACTTATCACTCGATATTGCCAAAATATACGACAGTGGACAGTAAAGTTCAAATGCAGTGATTTCATATATACAAATAATACCACTTTTATAAATTAATTTTGTGATGACGAAAGTAGTGCAGGAAAACAGATGAGTTCGAAGACAATATTGCAATAATAACAAATATAATGGGAAAATCGGACTTTTGTCGTTCACGAACCTGCTCGTGAGGTAAAATAAATGGGTACTGGTGTAGAAGACGTAATGTAGGTAGATATGGTATGTCTCTCGGTTTGACAAACAGCACTTTTCCATCGCAATCCGCGATCAACTCAACATGTTCTAAAGACTTACTTTTGATTAATAAAAATGGCTACAGATATTCTGTAATCAGTTCTGCGACAGTGAGCACCTATAAACAGTACCCCGAAAACAAAACCCCAAATCGTCGACACTATCGCAAACCTTTACACTTGATTAACTTGAAACAATCTTTCTTTGGTAATATATCATTGATATAATCAGTCAATAGCGGTAATTGTTCCACTATCTTCAATCGTATAGACTTCTGCAATACCGAAAAATGTACGACTGAGACTGGAATATGTCATGCCCCTCTAATCTTGACATTCAATTTTAATCCTATAAAATTTTGAAACTATGAAACACTTCTAGAAACTGCTTAAAAACCACTCACTAAATGCTTCTAACCTGAGCAGACAGCTTAAGCTGTTGCGTCCCAATTATATCTTCCTTTTCATCGAATTTTCGAAACATCTCTGTACCCTAGAAAAATAATATAAAAATAGCCCCAAAGTTATATATTTGTTATGCCAAGCACCAATTCTACCTCAGAATTTGAATGAGAAAAAAATGGAATTTAGATGTCATCACCAAATATTGTACACAAAGTATCAGTGGAAACTTAAATTTATAAGATCGAATAGAACATCAAACCAAGTGCACTGCTTTCGCGCAACAACACAGTTACAATAATGAAGCTTAAAAAATTAACTTAAAAATTCCAAATATTGTTGGGAATGAAAATCGAAATGTGTATAAAGGTTAAACAAAGAAACTTTTTAACACGTCATATTTCTGAAAGCTTTATCGGTAATAAAATATTTTGCACAAAAAATATATTTAACAGTGAGTTATTGAAAAATACGCCGGTATAAAAGAACATGAAGATAAAACGACATTCTATACGCAGACAAATGCACAAAAAAAATTCATCAGTCATCTTCTGATTTTGAAATCTGTATCCATTCATTATTAACACTCTCCTTCCACAATGAAACCTGAAAAGCAAACAATGAAAATGATGTTTATATGTTAAACAAAGCTGATTCAAAGAACACATATTTTCTACTCGAACTTCATCTACTGCAATCATTTTTACGACGTTACATAATTAAATGTAAAAACTCTACAAAGGGAAAGAAATGCAAAGTCATTTTCAACAGATTCTGAAAGTAAGATTTTTAAAGATTACTTCATTATTAGCACCGGATACAGCAAGAATTGTGGCACAAAGCGACCAGCTAACATGCCACAAAATGTCATCGCAAACAGTCAGTTCCTGCGATATCCAATGTCGTTGATCGATGTTCGAACAACGCCAAATGATTACTCGTTTATCCTAAATTAAATGAAAACAAAATCTACATCCACTTCATTTGAATAACGAATAAAATAAATTTGCACGAAATGATCTCAAAAATTTTCAAATACTTGTCCACATGAAGCAATCGTGTTATATGCAGCAACTGGAGCCCATGCAACATCACGCACCCAGTCACTATGCCCTTCTAATTCAACATCTAGTTCCCAATCACTTTCTTTCTTTTCCCTACAAATGGATCAGGATAAATCTATTTGTGATGCTGGGATGGACCTTTTAAATGAAAGCTGCTGCAAACACCTCAGCCTTCGAAATTTAATAATGAAATTTATTAGCAAGAAAACAAGATAAACGCTTTATTTTCAAAAAAGCAATTTATAACGAAACTATCCAAACCTCCATATTTTAACTAAATTATCATTGCCACCAGATACTATTCGCTTGGACAAGACACAACCTGTGCTTTCAAGAAGGGAAGCTGAATACAAAGCAGGAGCCCATGAAACTGCATTACAGCCCTGAAATTTCGAAGGCACTCTTAGAAACTGAACAAAACTTCTATGTTCTGGAACCTGATAACGGTAAAACAACAAGATTAAAAATATTTGCCTATATTCTTCTGCAGAACATAAAGCTATCAATAATTATTTCCAATTTAACACATGTTTTTATATTTTTTCTTTCCTCTTTTGCCTAAGACTCCACAATTTCAAAGCAGATTTCGAAATTGCTACGGTATGAGTAGACGAGAATATAATGTTTTTATACTTACCCAAACCAGATTTATCATTAACGCTAGCTGAAAATACGATCTACCTCAACAATTTTGGAGTAATTTATTTTCACTAGAAATGTTAAATATTATTTCAGTAGCCATCTTCCTTTATTGACAGTGAATACCATTCTTCTAATACCAAATCACCTGCTCATGAGCTTTAACGATAATCTTATGAGTCCATATTTGTTCCTTATCGAAAGTAAGCACAGATAACGTCGTATCAGTTGATGCGCACGCCAATGTAAGGCCAAACTGATGAGGTCCCCAACTTATTGAATTGACACTTGCATCGTGATGATTCCATTCATAAAACTTTTGCCACTTTCCCGCTATTTCTTTCCAAATAATGACTCGCCTACAATTTTTAGGTGAAAAGTTATTCAAAATGAATTAATAATCTTATCATTAAGCCGAAAATCTAGAATCAGTTAGGATTCATGACTGAATAAAAAAATTACTAAAAACGAAATTTTATATAAGGAAGCTGAATGTATATAAACATCCTTTTACAAAACTGTGTAATTCATATAGACATACAAACAAGCTGAAAAGTCTTAAGCTACCCGAAAAAGAGAAACTGCACACATTATAAATTTGCTTGGCAAATTACCTGAATAACTTTGCAATACAGTTCATGAAAATTAATATGTAAATAAATCGATTACTTGTCATATGAACATGAAGCTACTACATTGTCAAATTTCGGATGAGCCCAAGCTACTTGCCAAACAGGACCTGTATGACCACTTAGCTCAGCAGAAGGATATGTCTGTCCTGATGGTTTTAACTAAAAACAAGTGGTTGATGTCAAACACTTTAAATGTAATCTTTATTGAATAGTTTATCCGAATATTAGTGAATTTGCTGGATAGATTATAACCAAGACATGCTTCTCGCTATGTATTTTTAAAACAGAATCAATTTTTACGCTTACTTCAAACGAGTTATTAAGTCTTTTCAATTCATAATTATTATTAACTATTAAACAGAGTTCAGCACCAATATTAAAGGGTCTGAAAAGTCAAAATAAAGAAGAAAAATTATGTTACTTCGAAAATTTTAACCAAATGATCACTGGAACAAGTAGCAAGTCGAGTACCATAATAATTCATTTGAACATCATGCTAAAATTTAAAAATGATGACAGAGTTTACTAATAAGCAATATAAGTTATTCCGAGAACTATCATATGCGAAGCAGTTTAATCTATATTTTGCAAAAAAGAATCAAACATTCTGCGTTTAAAGAATTGCCTTTAATTAGTTATTTCTTTTCATAAATGCCTGAATATTTATAAGAATATTCTCAGAGCTAAAAATCTAAAATATTACAATTTTTTGATAAAGACCCGCGATGCAGAAAATATGATTCTGTTATGCAGCACTGTATGTATTGCTAATAATTCTAACAAAGTGGCACAAACAGCAGAGTTCAGCACGAATATAAAAATTCATTTAAAAAAAACAATAAACAATAAAACTTACAATAGTGAGACGATGAGCTGTATCAAGTTTTGAGACTATTGTTACCTAAAAACAATTAAATCAATAAATTACACTGCATAAAATGTAATATTTTATTAATTCAGAGCCAATAAAAAATCATATTTTTTTGTGAAATGAATGCTACAGAAATAAAATACACGAAGATTACCATAATTATTTAATTGAGTACGGTTCCCGAGTCCAATAATTATGAAGTGATAATCCACACCTACAAAATCGTACAATTACTGTATAAATACAATGAATATAGTGAAGTATAAACAAAATACACAACAAACGTGAATTCCAACCAGCCATGATTAGAATAGCCGATAGTTACGAGGTACAAATAAAGTAAATTATGCCCACAAAATTTAATTATTGAAGACAAAAAACAATTCTTTCGCTACAAGGTGGCTGAGTTACTTCCCTCTCTTTCATGTAAAATTCTAATTGTAATTAATGGCAAAACCTGGCTTGACATATTTATTGCTTGGCACGTGCACAAAATTATGTGATACGCATATGGCGTAAACTATATGTTGTAGTATGATTTGAGAAATACGAGACCTGGCATTTTGATTAAGTTGATAACAGTTCATTTTTATCACTGCTCATATGACACACAAGCTTAGGCTTAGTTCTCACTAAGTTGATTTGCTCTATCTTGTTCGGGAATCAGTTATCAAAGTAGTAGAAGAAGAGATGAAGGTGATTTGCATGTGCACTTAAACTTAAAAATTGATTCTTTGTATCAATGAAAGGGACGTATTTTTACTTCCAATCACTTGAATAAAGTAGTACTCATGTCTGGTTGAACAAATCCTTGTTATGCTTTACATGGCGCATAAGAATAATGCATTTTTGTAGATTAAAATTGGCTCAACTTGAAGCTTTTATTGAACTGTAAGAATGATTGGGAAGAATTGTTGCAATGTATGTGGACTTCTGAATACAATGTAAGTAGTTGAAATGAAAATGAATGCTAGCTTTCATTTGCTTATCAAGAAGTCAGTGTCCAATTGTCTACATTGAAACCTGATGGCTGAGCATTTCCAAAATATCTTCACTTGTTGTCCCCAATTGTTAATGCTTAGCTAATTCTTCCTTGGCTGAAAACTGCATTTGAGTTTTTTTTTACCTTTGCCTACTTTTATGAAGAGCCAGAAAACACTGCTGTGCCTTGAGAGTTATTAATCGTTTTCATTTTTTTAGAATACCTATTTCTGCTCTTATAGTACAATGATTCATGTATGGTCTCGGCTGATAGATTGAAAAGTAGAGCTTTTGAGAGATGTTTAAAACAAAAGGTTCTACTACGAGTTTACTCAATAAGTTTCCTAACGCACTATGATGGTAAGCAAGACTAACCCATCTTCTCTTCCTACCTGCATTGGTGGAAGAGGTTGCTGTTGTCAAGCTCTCTTTCGTGGAAGCTGTTTATTTCCATAAAACATTAAGCTGTGCTGAACTGCTCATGAATTTCAGTCAAAATTTTTATTGTTAATGAAAAATTTATTACTATCATTTATAAGAGTTTGATCACGTTATTTCACTAATAATCATTGATACGATATACTCTAGTCTAGTTAATGAATCAGTATACTAATTTTCATTTTTATATAGTTTTTAGCTTAAGATGATGCTTTGACGATCAATTAAAATTTATAGAATACATAGCTTGAAGAGATCAAATATTTATTGCTTTTGTAATACGCTTATGCGGCAGACATTTCCGTGTCAGCGTAATGTACATTATTATCTAAAATCCAATGCTTGAGACAATTTGTATTGTTAATAGCAAAAAACTTCTTAGTTCTGATGTCAGAGGAGTCAACTATACAATTCAAATATCAGAAATTTTTCGGAAATATGCAGTTGCCACCTTTACGTGGCGTAAAAGAATTCTTTTTTGATATGTCACGATTCGGAGTAAGTCTTGTGCTTAGTTTCATTGTAAATAAATTATTCATTTTAAGAATTTACCCATTATTACAGCTTATGATCATTAAACGAATAACCTGTAAACTGTAATTAATTCATCAACTTTTACTTACATATTTTCCAGTAATCACGTCATACGAGTAATCGAATGATGATTAAGCTGAGTTTCTTTAAGGACATAAAAATCTTCTCATAATGACGCTTTGAAGAAGACTGCATTTCAGATACCACCTTTTTTTGATCTACCAAAATGGAACAATCGCATGTTAACTAATTTGCTGTATTATCAAACAAATTATTTTGCCATTATGCTCGGTTTCATATTGATCGGTGCTTCATTACAGTTGTGGGATATTATCATTGGTTTAATTGCAATCTCATGCGTAGCTGTCGTATTCATTCTTTCTTTTTCATCCAGTCATACATTCGTACAGGTAAAGTTTTACGTTTATTTGCTACAGTCGAATAATTTTTGGTTTTTGTATATGAGGTAGTATTTGACAACGAGTAACGAATTCTCTTCGTTATTCGTTGTGATATTTTTTTTGAGCTCGAAGCTTTCAATTTCTGAATTTATCACTTCATTTTTTTTTGGCTTTTATCATGAAATTATGCCCTTAAAGTATACTTAAGGTCTCTTAAATGTTATTTTTGAAAATACTATGACGTTATCATTTTAAACAGGTCTATTAATCATGAATTTTACCTTTACAGACTCGCCGTAAACATGCGTTCCTCTTATTGGGAGCTTTTTTATTATCCTTTTACTTATTTATTCATGCTATAATGCCTGTTGTGACTGTACTCTTTACGCTCTCACTTCCTTCGTTGCTGGTATTAGTACATGCATCTATTAGACGTAGGAATTTAAAAGCTAAAGTTACTCATCAGCTAGAGCGAATGGGTTTGAAGAACACTTTCATGGCATACATGCTGGAACAAGCTGGTATTGAAATGATGTAAAATCATTTATCTTTCCAAGGACTCTATTATTATATTAGTTTCTAGATAAAAGTCGTGATCATTATAAATCCCTTTTTTATTACTTGAAATAATTTAGGTTACTTGAACTGATTAAAGCTTAAAGGTTGTGCTAACCAAAGCGATAGAAGCTTTTGCTATTAAAACCTTTATCGCTTCATTTGACATAATCTTCTAACTGAAATCAAATGTATTTCTTGAAGCATTCGATATTCGTGCGTTTTTGGTTGCTAAATTATGTTTACTAGCAATCTTTATACATTTCCATCTTGTGTCGTTTCTATCATTTAGTCTTTCACACGTGGTTGCAAAATTTTTTGTAACTGCGAGAATTCAAAAATTTATTTGACAATAGAGATTTCCCAAACCTAAATAGATTTTTAAGCAATTCCTGATACAGATACAGCCTTTTTTGTATTGTACTGTAAGTCTCATTCCTTTTTTCATTTTGATTTAAGAAATGTATTTTTTTTCACACTTTATTATTCTATTATTATTTGCCTGCATTTCTCTTCAATACTTTTGCATTTTTTGATGCGGTATTTTGATGTATCTTTCATTCATGCGAAGGCTCTGTTCAAGTTAAGAAACTGGATAACGATTTTATAATAAATTTTTAATTCTTGTGCCGATAATGTATTTTAGTTTTTGAAATAAAGCTGAATTCTTTAAATTGTATGCATGGATTTACATTAAGAATCATCAAGTCATTGAAGTTTACTTAAGGTTTTACCTACTATTGCTGATTTATGCGGTTACTATCAAATACTTAGGAATCGCGGTTCGGATTGCAAAATTGACTTTATTAGTGGTAATCAAGGTGAAGCATTTAGATTTTATGGTGTGAACAGCACTTGAAATACGTTCAGTTGTTTCTAAACATGATGTTTTCAGTGCACCAAATATGCCTGGCTCAGTCTTCCAATTGGTCTACGGGCATTTCCTCCAGAAATCGCTTTTGGACGAGACGGATGTGGATATTATAGAGGAATATTATGTTGCAACTCCCAAAGAATCACTACCTCTCAAAGTTTGTTTTTGTTGTTTTTTTCAAATTTAGTCAGCAATATTTATTACATACTTTCAGTTTATTGTCTGCGTTTCGATAGTACTTGCTGCTATTGCTGGTGGCTATTCAGTTTCATATTTAAAAATCATCCTTTTGGTCTCTCCTATATTTATTATTGGTTTTTGGAAACTTGTAGAATGGCTTTGTTATTATATCGTATATTCCTTCACAGTGGTATCTTTTGATTATGATTCTACTGTTCATCGTATTGTTGCTGCCATTCGATCCAGGGAAATAGCCTTTTTTGGGTTCTTTTTTCGTTACAAATAATCAGTGAAATAAGCCATATTTAAGGTGTCATCGTTTTGTATGAAAGGATTTTTTTATTAGCTCTTCTACATCACTAGAGTTCATAAATGCATAATGATTTGTTGCATGAAAAATTTCCACTGCAGACACCAGTTAACTGAAAAATTGACTTAATTGCCATTTTTAGTGCATGAAGTTTAGATTACGGCACAAATGTGATATAAATGCAACGGTTTGTTTGCGGTCCATTCGGGTTGAATTATTGCGAATACTCCGTCAAGTAATTCGAAATTACATACACGCGTCCAAAAAATTATGCAAGTAATTAATCTTTTTTTCCTTCTTAAAACAATGCAGAACTCTGTATTACTTTTAAGGAACAATAATGATTATTTCATGGGGTATGACTGCTTTTGCAGCTTTGAAATTCAATTTACTCTTACGTTTTACTTGTTTGCTATCTCGTAGTTTTATTTCTCGGCCAATATAAGTGTTCAACTAGCATTATTCAAATTAAAGTTCGGCAAACATTCATACAATGCAGCTAATTTACCAGGTTTGATGAATCTGAGAAGTTATTATCTGAAATGTTTTCTCCAGAGATGTCACGGTTGGTTTTAGAAAATGATGTATGTGATGATTTTCTTCAACTATCAACATTTAAGGTATTTATACATTACTTGATGATACGCTTTGGCGTTTGATATTTGATTCATAGTAATAATGAGGAAAAAGCACTTTATTTTCTTATGCAAGTTTTGAAAGTATATGAACGTAAAAGAGAGCTGAAGTAGGCTTTACAGTTTAGTTTAACTTCAGTGTTTAATTTTTAGTTATGACATCATTGATATGTTCAGGAATTATGGCAGCTGATCTGTCTTTTACGTAGTGAATATCTTCGGCTTTTCCTATTTCATTTATCTCGACCCTCACGCACGCTGGTATTTGTATATTTTGATCTGCTTATGAAAATACTCTTTGTCAAGAACTGTAAAACCAGGTGACATTTATTAAGAACCTCAGTTCTGCTACATTAGTAGTGTGCAGCCTCGAGTCTTATGGAGCTCTTTGTGAATTACTTATTTCTATGATATGACTCGGTAGAACCAAAAGGCACTGGTAATCAGTTTTACTAGAATTCCAAATTATTACAGATATTTGGACTCCCTATCCTTCATCGATATATATTTTAGTTTCATTTATAGATATTAAATTCGTAAATATAAATAGAGTCACTTTCCGAGCACTTAGTTGTTTTATTCAGAGAAGAATGCTGAAAATTTTATGAACTATGCGTTTCTTTGTAAGTAAAATTAATCAAAATAATTTGGATTGCATTTTTTAAAGGCTTTTACTTGACCTTGATTTTATAAATCATCGGGGTTACCGTACAGAAGAAAAGAAAGTTAGAAACTATACAAAAACAGTGTCTACCACTGAAGACATTCTGATGCACCTGAGCTTCGCCTCAGAAATGTATATCTTTTTCATAATTTATACATTTTAAAATTGAATATTTGCTTATTCATTGTTGTTAAGCTTTTATTTGCAATCATAAACAATCGATACTTACGTATTAAGTTGATTTTTACTGTCAGTGGAAATGCTTTTGTGCGTCACATTAAAAAAGAGCGATGCAACTACCATCTTACATATCTGAAATGGCATTACGTCGCATAACACTTACATATTTATTTGCGTAATTAACTTTACTTTTGAATTACATCACAGACAATATAAATAATATTATATTTAACTTACAAAATATAGGCTTTTAAATGATATTTTTTATAGCTTGACTGGAGATGAATTACTCGAGCCAGAAAAATTCGAGTATGTTCGTGAAATACTGAAAAAAGCAGTTGAGCTTTTGACGCCTGAAAAAGCAGTAAAACCTGATCTAAAACGCTTGAGCATGTCATCAACATCATCAATATCTGAATCTGTGAATGATACTTCATCAGCCGAAAATTTATCACGTGAAGAGGTTATTACGTATCATTTGTGAATAGGGTTTTTCACAATTACAAATATAGTGAAATATAGTTGCTCTCCTATGATTTTTTTTCAACCGATATTGTAGTCAAATCATATTTATTTCAGATTTATGAAGGATTTCCTGTTATTTCGGATGGTGAACAAAATAATCATTCCTATATTTGGCAAGAAAATGTCAATTTTTCACCTTTATTGCAATGTTTTTGGAAAGCGTGTAAAAAAAAAAATATTTTTCGGACAATTGCTGAAAATTTTCTGAGTTGCAAGTTGGAATAGAGAGATTTTTTTGTCAACAAATGAAACTTTGATTTTAAAATTTATTCAATAGATTTACTTGGTATGTTCACAACTTAATATTTAGAATGGAAATGACGCAACAGCGAAATCAGTAGTTACGGAATTAAAAGCACGTCTTGTTGAACGTGATAAAAGAAAAGCGAAGTCAGAAACAGTGCAGAATGGTGAAGTTGAAAGAATGGCATTGGTTAAAAGCGAATCAGAAGAAAGCCCGTCAGTTAATAAAAATTATGATATCACACATTTAGTTCAAAATACTATTGATCAAAATTATTTGACTACTTCTACTAAAAATACTATTGCTTCAATTTCAACAAACTACGACGTATCTCGATCATGTGTAGAAATGGATTTAAGAAAAGCACTCATATTAAGAAAATCAGCGCCCAGCACTATTTTTTTGGATGATCCTGAAAGTAAGTAATGTCTGTTTCGAGATTTTTGTTAGACAGAGCTTTGCTATTCATGCTTTATTAAGGTAAATAATCTATTTTTGTTTTCTCTTATAATGCTTGCAGCTTAATTATTGCTCACAATATGGTTTCCATTTTTATAATTACAGATAGGTAGGAGTGAATTTGAATACAAGCATTATAATTAAGTTTTGAATCAATTAACTTAAATATGTAGTATATTATTTGTAAATGATTTCCTCTGTGCATAACACTTGAACATTCAGTATGAGAAAGGATTATGTGTAGATTGTAGTAGTGAAAGAATGGATGCAAATTTGAGCATGTAGTGCGAACTATTCAGAAACTGTTTGTATATATTTGTAATGCAGGCACATTGATGAATGAAAAGATATATTCTAGCTTACTCTTGTTTAGATCAGATTTACACCCACGTTTAAAGCAAAAATTTTTTCCCATACGATGTTTACTGAAGTTGTACGTGTATGCAAGCGTTTAATTTTCTCGAGACCGGTTTCTGGTTGGTCTTCTATGCTCCAACAACCTTTTTTCGTACAAAATGTTACCTTTAAAAATAATCAGTATATAATCACGGTTATCAACAATTATTCCAGTTTATTACATAAGTTTGGTTCTCTTAATTTTCAAAATTACATGGCAATGAGGGGGATTTTGCTTCTTTGATTTAAATATTTGGGAAATATTGCCTGAAATATCTTTCAGTCTCTCTCAAATACGTCTCTTTTCATTACCTCAGTTCAGTAGGTAAAGTTAACTGTCCTTTATTGTTTCGATTTTTCAACGTAACATAGCTCACTGTGATATTCTAACAAGATTTTACTTAGTTATGAAGCGGGTAATATTTCGGATAACGAGATTTACATTAATTAAATAATAGCCTTCCACTATGTATATATTGACTAAATAACAATTTGCTTTTCAGTGTTGGACTTTTGAGTATATTTTTAAGTGAACATAAAAATATTAGAATTACATCTTCACCTCAGTATAATCCATCAACTGCAGCATTTTTTGTACAATCGCATGCGCAGTTCCAGAATCATTTGCATAAAGAGCAAGGATACGGTCTTTCTCGAAAATACCATAGCCCATTATGAGTTTATCATTATTTTCAGCAACAATCACCTACAAATTCAAGTTCTAAAAGAAATCAAATTTACATATTGCAGTATTTGATCGAAATTTGATGATTTATAAGTCATTCTCTAAAAACTTATTGAAATATTGGCTCAAACCTTTTTTTTCTTTTTTATCTTCATGTACTATCATTTATGCTATAACACGTTTCAGTCAAGTGATCTAACACGAAACATTACCTTTGTACATTTGAAAAGGTACTGGAGGTATTTACTGCGATCAATAAAACACAATGTTTTGTCGAATTTCAAGATTTCTTGCATCTGTGAATCATGAAATTCCGAGATGTTCACTGCTAGAAAAACCAAATGGTGCAAATTTCGCAGTTAAAAAAGTAGTAATGTCTTGGCAATCTGCATGGAAACTTTTATTTTTGTAAATTTGCAGTATTTGTAGTTTTTCAAGTCCTTAATAATTCACTGCTTGTTATATTTGACTACAGATCAAATAGCGATAGTTTACATATGCAAATGCATGCTTTGTCATTTTACAATTTACTACTATAATATTAATGCTCAAAAAACAGACATTTAATGGCTTGTTTGTAGGAAATACAGAAACGAAATAATGACTAACTACGCACACACTTAAATATGATTTTAAAAATGAAAAAGAGTAAAGAACCAGAGAAAACGGTAGAAAATTGCAAAAACAAACTGTTCTCAAATTTTCAGTTTGCTACATGAACGGTGTCATTTCAGATGATGAGTCTTGTCATATGATCTAGTTCATTAACTTCTATCTCATATGATCTAGTTCATTAACTTCTATCAATGTTTTTATAACAACCAGAAGATCAGATTTTTTGCGGCCATCAATTAATTATTTATCATCATGAAGTTTTCATTACTTGACCTTCATAAGTGAATAATCAGAAAGTCATTGCTCCGCTCTGTCAACGAAATTGTTTTTAACAGTTTATCACGTTTCAGTTTTATTATATAGCAAAATAATGAGAAACATGTCGGAGGATTGCTATGCTTTCGGCAATGAACGATGGACCGGTTTGCTGACTCACTGATCATTAACTAATTTTATTTATGAATTTTCCCATTGGTAAACAATAAAAAATGTGAATAGCTTGAAACTAGCTTCAAGTTTTTTAGTATAACTAATGAAAATGGTATCCATTCTTGGTATAATACTACTGCATGTCACTTTTCACTAGCTAGCAGCAGTATTATGGCATCAGTGACCTTATCGAAGATAACATCTTTTAATGTCAAGATGCAAAACGATAAGATCAAGAAAAAGGAAAACAAAAGGGCTGTTACGTAATAGAGGAGACAATGAAAGTAAAAGTTCTCCAAATTACTCACTGTTTATATGTAAATGCTCACATCTATCTCTGTCTTAATTTAGTCTTAACAGTTTAATTTTTGAGTTACCAATATGAGCACTGTACTAGGATTCTGTAATGCTATAAATTCTGTTTGTTCTAGTATTGTAATTGAAAAACTAGTAAAAGTTACTTGTGTCAATTCGAAGTGTCTTCTCAAATTGACTTTTATTGACTGTGAGTTCACAGAGGTACAGGTTGTCTCTGACAACGAAGCCAGCTTTATCTCTCCATAGATCAATATCGTCGTCATCAGTCAAATCAACAGTTATATTTTTTGTCAACTCCAAATTGACGTTCCCCAATGTCCTAGAAGTATCGCTGCTGTAGAGGACTGAATTGGGTTGATCGGGGACATATTGACAAGTAAAGTCATAGTTTAATATGTATGACTAATTCTTTTATCATCCTATTTCCTGTTCTACTCAGAAGAAAATTTAATGTTGTGAATGTAGACCACTACCAATAACACGAATTAAATTTCAGCGATTCCACTGATGACATAAATTTTGTTTAAAAAAAACTCTCGAATCGATCGTTTTGTAGAAAACTATAAAATCATCGACGCATCTTTCAGCTTACTCTATGAGAAAATTTGAAATTAGAACATTTTAGCGACTATTTTTTGTATTCCATGCTTTGTCGAATGAGGATTTCCAAAAAATTAGATAGAAAAACCAATCAGATGCAAAATTTACGGTGCTATCTTGGGATAAAACTTTTTAAAACTTTGTCATTTACAATGACTTTTCATGAAAAGCTAGGGAGAGAATTATTTGAAAATTGCCGCTCTTTTTTCAGGTTTTTTTGTAATATTTGGAGTTTTTCTCCTAATATAATTAGGCAACGACCTTCCAGCTGCTTCATCAATTAAATGTTGTAGGGGCAAACGGTTTTTAGGGTTATGATGCACTTGAATGAATAGCGGCTGCAGACTCATATCTTCGGCTACATCCTGAAATTACTTTTGGTCACTTATTGTCCAGAAAGATTTTTTTTTAATATTTATGGAAGCAGTTTAAATGGCATATTGAAGGTGATGAAAATCTCATACCAAACATTTCTATAGGGCCAAATTGAATTTAATCCACATATTAGGATTTTGGTCACTAATTATAGCTGAACTATTAAGGGATTTATGAAAATTCGAACTTGCACATCAACAATTTGGTAGCATGACGAATTATTAGTTGGCTCTATATTGATATATTTATCACTGATAGATTGATCAATTTTAACTGCCATGCAGTAGGCTTGACTTGCCGAATATTTAATCATTGATACCATGGCATTCAAAGCACCTGTGAAAGAATCATTTCTTCATCTTTTAATGTTAGAATTGTTCCAGACTTTTTGTTTTAAAAAAAACCATTACAAAACTTTAAAAAAAATATTACAACTGATATTTATTTGACTTTTTTTCAGTATTTTAAATAATTATTAACTAACCAGTAGTTGAAATAATTTCGCTATAATGAAAAATATGTGATTTTTGTGTTTAATTTTTAGTTTCAGTCAGAAAATATAAAATCAACCATTAGAATCTCGAAGAAATGCACAAGTTGATCCTGGAATACTATTGATTTCATTCAGAAGCTCACTTTCATTAGATAATGTTTTATTTGAAAAAATATTCCAACCCATAGCAAATATTGTATTATAAGACTGAAAAAAAATTAAGTTTGCAGAATAAGCTTAGTAAGATGCACAAAAAATTTGTTCTATTTGAATTTAAACGGCAAATCAAACTCATATTTTGTTTGAAACCAATCATTCATACATATGACGCTTATTAAGTTCACCACTATCAAGACGTACAACAAATGTCGCAAATTTGTGTCAAAGTTTGAGTTGCTTCCTTTCCGGTTGTGATGTACTACAATCGGAAATGAAACAACCTAAACTTGGTATCATTTACAGCGAAGTGATTTTAAAACATAACAATACAAAGTGTAACTAATAAAGGGACAAGTGAAAATTTAAGAAAATTCCATTATCATAATTGAAAATGAAGAGAACGGCGAGTTGCAAGTATACATATTGCATATAAAGGGTATTTTTATATTAAATGAATGATTAAGGGACAAGTGAATAAATGATGCGAATATAAGGGAGAAGGCCATTCTTTACGTGAATAAAATGGCCACACGTGAAACGTCTCCTGAAGCATTTCGAATGGCTGGAAAAGTAATGATGATCGCATCAGTGAGCGGTGACAAAAGAGAAGAAACGACGGTAACGACGACGACGCAAATAACGATGACAACCACAAATTGAGAGAAAAGGTATACCTTGGGAATACTCTCTACTGATGTATATATGAAGGAGAAAGACGGGGTAGGAGTGGCGCACCTGATACTAAAACAAGTTGTGAATTGCTAAGGTATTGAGTGATTTCAAAGTCGACTGGGTTGTTTTGTAATTCCTTCTTACCGTCCGTCATCGTAATTGTCACCTTTTGCCTTGATTCTCATCTTTGTGAGAGGTGATAAGTATGATGGAGTTTGCAGTTGTGGTTGTGATGTTATTGTTAGATGTTATCTGATCTCATTCAACGGTTCCCTCCATGCCCATTCCTTACACGGTTGGTATATTTATTTGTTTCGTGTCACGGAACAATTTGTTGTAATTGTCACTAATGGAAAAAATTTGTGAATGACGCTTTTTGCCTGCTGGATGTCACTATCGAACTATTCCTTGCTTATATCTATTAATCAACAATAAATATATTATTCTAACATATAACTTCTAAGCACTATCACTGTTTCTACCTACAATATGAAGAGAAAGCAAAAAAAGCGACATGTGATATTCTGATAATAACAGAAATAAACGAAATGTTGGCTGAAGACAATGCTGTTGCATGCTTTCACCTGATCAGTCAGTGCAATGCATGAAAACCATCTGGCAGTTGTGTCACCTTGAAACCAGCCACTTATATTCCATTCCATTCCAACCGCATCTCTGCCATGTCATTATCATCATCCAAGAGTATGATCCGCAGACACCGGGAAGCGTATATTAAAGCAGTATTGAATGAATAGAACCGGTTCATTCTATATCATACCATACGTCTATTAATCAAGAATGTCAATCAGGTTTTCAGTACTTCCTGATTGTGGTTTCCTTCTCAGCATATATTTACAAATTTTTTAAAAATATCACCAGCTTTTTGTTTTTGAATTCAAGACCATGAATTAGTAGTGTATCAATGACCAGTCTCAAGTGTGCTCATCAATTACCTTCAACAGTCTTGGAAAGACTGTCTGGATTTGTCAACTGCTGCATTATACAACGACTGCTTTAATAGAAAAAGCATAACCCAATTACTTCCTTGTCTGTATGGACGAGAATTATCGTACCCGCTTAGAATACAGAATAGCGCAATAACTATTTTCGCAAATCCCTCAGACAGTAGCTTCTCGATGACATACTACACTATATCATAACGACTGGTAACCTGATTCCCACCTCCCATAATAACTTCACATGCGCAGAAAACACCTTCTTAAAAGTAAGATCAAGATAGCCAGTTTTGATTGATAGGCCAGACAAACTCATCGCAGTCTTGTAAAAACCGCACATTACTTAACGATTTTCCGCTATCATGAAAACTGAAAACTTAAAACATATTCGCACGTTTCTAACTGCGTAAAAGGCTTAAGATGAATTGTAGCACTAAAAAGTTTTCCCAACTCAAGTTCCCACTGAGAACAAGTGCATACTTTTAATGTCCTGCTTATTGTGGATGAGCTCACCGAAACCATAAAATAAGCTAACAAACTATATTCTATACTTCTGCACAAACTAACACAAACACTTCAGATTTTACTTGAAACAAAACAAGTTCTTGAATACAAAGCTATGTTAAGAATTACATCCAATATTACGTGTCTGAATATTAAATTCCGAAAAATGGAATGAGCTGGAACTGAAAAATGAATTTCTTCTCTATGTCTTGATCCAATAAAATTTGAAAAAACTTTGCGGCTCATAAAATGACAGATTAAGGAACCCAGAAACAAGATCATGGAGCCACAGTTATCTATTTATTGCATAATAAAGTGTTGTCGGCTATTTTCGTGACTTTAAAACTATAGTAAAACTTCTTAATCAAATTTTTTCAACAGAGACAAACTTATTTTAGAATAGAGAGGCATTAAAAAAATCATTCACAACAGATAGAGAAAGAACTCAAACAAAATGTACAGGGTTACCAAACAATAATTAAAGAAACGAACAAACAAAAACATAAAATTCAATTGCTGCACACTTCATTCCAGCATAAAATCTTTAAATCTCAGAAAGTAGAGATTCTACAAAAACACATCCTTCCGAAATTTCTAACTATGAAAGACAGTAAGATGCTGATAACTACGTTTTGCAACTAGAAATAAAATAAAATGTCATCGTAATCTTGAGATTTCAGGTGATGCTCTTTCTAAACTTCTGCAAATACTGACATAAAAATGATAGTAATTTTTAAATCGAGATTATGCTGATCACCGATAAAATTCAACCAGCAAAACAAAATATTTCTTCGAATAAGAAAATTGTTCTCGACAGAACAGCAATTTTTTCCCAGTGAAGAAATTTTTTTACAAATATGAAGAAACCAACTGAATACTAAATGAGCTCATAATAATCAACAAATGCGTGCATTCCACTGCTAACCACTTATTGCACCAGCTATTGGTGCCGTAACACATTGTAATGTCTCCACAGCGTTTTGCAAAGAACGTATTTGTACATAATCAGTGACAGCTAGTAAAAGAGACGCTTCGTTAGCATGAAAAGGACATATTTCAATGCACTGCTCATATAAACGCAATGCTTCACCAAATTCTTGCCTAAAAAAATAATTAGATATTCAACTTGGTCTTCGAATTAAAGTTCAGGTATAGTACTCATAAAACGATAAATGAATCAGAAAAAAGCAATAGAAAATTGCTGATTCCAAAAATACCTTTTGAAAGCAATTTTTGCCAAAATAGCTAAAGCATCAGGATTGGCTTTTTCTTTCTCCAAAATCATCTTCATCTTAGATTCCAAAACTTTCATCTGATCAGGAGAACCTTCCATTTCTTCCGCTTCAACCATTCTCAAAAAATTATGCAGTGCTACTGCAGAATGCATGAAAATGTGGAACATAGAACCATGAAACTTACGCAAGATAAAACAGCGGCGCCGGATGATCACGTATTCCTTCAGCAGCTTTCTTGAATGATGCTTTAGCCAAATCCTTATTTTGAGCTGCATAATAAAGCTGCAACATACACTTATAAATGATATTTCGTTTTGAAAAACGTTTGGTAATTTGTTTCAGAGCGGTGTGAATTAAAGAGATCAGGTTAAGAAAAATGAATGAGGCGAAAAAGTCACAAAATTTTCTAGATGAAAAAGAATAAAAACAAACTCTTCCAGTGATGAGGTAAAGGACAGGATCAGTGTTCTGATTCAACTGCAAAAGCTGATCAACCTTAGCCATACATGCCATAGCCCCACCGACATCACCAATCGATGCTTTCAAAGCCATTTCGCAATAAGCCCTCAAGTGTCTTAAAATGTTGAAATGAACATAAATGATTAGAAATTCATATACTTATGAAACGACACTACAATAATGGACTGTGTAAAATATTACCTGACTAAATGATGCGCAGGGTCAATTTCATAAAGCTGATCCAAATATTCAATTGCATCTTGAAGTTGATTTTCTGACAGTAACAACGCAGCCGATAAATAAATATCAACATTTTTTGGATCAGTTTCGATAGCAAGGTCTAATTCACTGCAATTATAGCGTCAATGATTATCAATATGTGGATCATTATTTCTGAACCTCTAATTCAAAATATTTTACAGTCTTTTTTTCACCATCACAACAAAAAAGTCATTAAAAGACGAATTTACCGCTGGATTTGAATTCTTAACAAACCAGACAATGGAACACTGCACAGTAATATGAGCTATACGCCTAAATTAATCCATTATTAAATAAGACTAAGAACAGAAAGAATAGAGTACTTTCTGACATCGTTGCTGCGTTGAAACATTTTCAAAGCTGCAGTAAATATGTAAAACATCGATCGAAATCGTTTGTTGATTTCGTTACATCGCATTTCTTTGTTCAGTGCATCCCATTTATCATTGAAAGCAACCAAACATTCTTTCAATAGCTAGATTACAAAAATCATTAATAAAAAATTTAATTCCTGAGGATCAATGAAATGTGAGAATCAGCAGTTTTCCAACATCTGATGCGAAAAAATTAAAAATCTGATGGTGAATTTTTTTAAAAAGTACCAGGTACTAGCGACTATCAAGCAAACGACCTTAGCAAGACATACGAATATGAACACGCACATGAATAATTGTAAAATCCATCCGAAGAAAAAGTACAAACGTGCTACTAACCGCGACGTTTTCTTTCATCGAAGCAAAACGAGCTTGAAGTATATAATCACGTAAAATGCAAGTCACACTATTGGAATTCGAAGCTGACTGATGAATTAGCAGATCTTCCTTAACAAGTGGTATAACTTCTTCATAATGCCCATTACGAATTGCTTCCAATGCGTGATCATAGGGACTAGAAATAAACTACATGATAGATCTAACAAGATGCTAACTATTTTCAGTCAATAATGTTGTAAACTGTAAAATTCTAATCAACAGATAAAAAATGCAATTTTTGCACATCTCTATCTAACTTGATGTTTTCGACATTCCAAATAAGTTAAGAAAGAAGCAAAATCAATCACATCGCGCTAAGTTTAGGTTTCTTTAAGGATGATTTTGTGACACCAACAGTGACAAACAAAAACAATATAACCTCCAATTATTCAACAAAATTTTTTTTACTGAAATAATATATGGTAAATAGTGAACTTTTTAAGAGAAAACAGTACTTAATACCTTTCAAGACAGAAATTAGAATCTAAATCTTTCAATATTGGGTCATTGACAAATGAGCCGCGCCAGACTAGAATAGACTCGTCTCTAATTGGTATGGCCTCACGTGTAGCTTTCTAAATGAGATGCAAATATTACAGATGGAGTAAAAATTACTGTGATCAACAGATGAAACACTAAAACACTTACGTTCTACGAAACTATAAGTTCAAAAGTTTCCAATTCAAAATGTCTCTTTAGAAACTTCAAAACGTAATAGTTGGGAAACAGCAGTAATTTTATTCACAACACTTAATTCGCTTCAACAATAATAATTAGTGATTAAAAACTGAGCTGCTAAATGCGAAGAAAACCTTACCAGTCTTTCAATTATACTGGAAGTAGATAGAGCAATAGCTTTATCGACATCCGCTTTCAATGAAATTGAGGCTTCCGGATTTACGAGGGATGCAAACGTAAAATCTATACGTGAAGTTTTTCAGTAAAGTCTAACCAAGTACTTTTAGATATGCAAGTTCAGTAATTTAGTAGCATACAAAGCTTAGACTAGAGCGATATAAAATTCTGTCTAGACAAAACATTAAAGGTTAAAATTCGTCATTTTACACATTAAAAACAATACAAAATACACACTAAAAGTATCGAATTTCACTAATTAAATAAAATAATGATAATGCGGCATAAATATGCATAAATAAAATTTTTTTTAAATTACCATCCAATGCTTCTTTCGATTTGTTAAGACATAAGTATGCTCGTGCTCGCCGTACCACAGCTTTGAAATAAAGTGGGTCTAATTCTAGTGCTTTCGTGCAATCCAAGACTGAACGCTCTGAATCTCCCTGAAATTCAATTATATTAATTATTGCACGATATGAAATTAGTTTTGAAATAATGTGAAATAAAAAAATTATTTTAAAGTAAGCATACTAAATAAAGCTGTAGGTGAATTAAGGAAAAGTAAATAGTGCTTCATAATCCTACCAGTCTATCATACGCAGCTGCTCTATTTTGAAAACACACAGCAAGATGACTTTTGTATTCTGGTGGACAAAGATCAATAGCTTCTGAGAAAACTTCAACAGCTTTGTTGTATGAACAATTTTTAAAATGTTCATTGCCACGATCTTTCATTTTCTGAGAGCTTTGCACTCCTAAAACATACCCATCATCGTTATTTTAAAAAATATACTACAATTTCACAATGAAAAGTCACAAGATAAGAAATACGATTCAGCACCAAAATACCTAGAGGAAGTACTGAGCATGATGAAATAGATGCATTTAATCCAGAGTTCTTTACTGTCTGAAAAAGAAAAAGTAAGAATTTGAAAAAAATGACTCTAGAAATTGTCCAATGGACAGTTTTTTCGAATTTTTGCGGACTATGACTGATAGTTGGCTTGAATTACTAGCAAATGAAAAAGTCCTGAGATGAGGATTAATTTGAAAATAATAGAATGTCTAATGCAATTGCAAAAATTATACTATAAAGTGATGAACACTTGAAAATTTAAATAATGCAGATTACAGTTTCAGAATGCTTTCGAATGTACCACCAAACTGCAGCTCCGCCAGCAATACATGCTCCACCAATAATGAACCATTTACTCCATCGTACATTGCTTCGACCATTCATTATCATTATCCTGTAGGAAAATGTTTATGAAAAAATTAGAGGAAAAATCAGAGGGATAAAATGTAGTAGAAATAATAAGACAACAAAACTACAAGTTAATGTAAGAAAATGTGGAAGATGTTAGCTTTTTACAGAATCAATGCAATTTTTACATAATGACACTGTTCAAAAGCACTGAATCGACCGTAGACTGAAACTGAAATACGTGATCTAAAAAAAACACTCAGTATGATAATATGATGAAATTCTAATTATATAGTGATTTTTTTTTTTGCGTGCACAGATATGCAGACCAATCGCGTCTCTGGAGATCTTCAAGTCATTTAAATACTTGACAGTAGCAGCCCCATACAACTGAGAAAGTCTGAGCTTTTATACTGATAAACTGACAAAAGCTCTGACTTTTCACTAATAAAAGCTAATAGTTAATTCCATTATTTCCTTTCTAAACGATATGGATAGCCAACGGATTTATACAAACCGCAACAGAAAGTAAATTCCACAAAAAGAAACACAGAAAACACTGGCAAAAAAATTGAAATCTTGCATTACAGTGCGTAATTGCAAGCAGTGATTACAAAGAGCAAAAACTGATCGGTTGAGTGCTGCAACAAAGCGAACAACTAAACGGCTGTTCCTGTCCCGAAATGGTAGCAAGCAGCATATAAAATTGCAAAAAGGCAAGAAGTCAACAATGAGAAGATGAACAGCGTCTCAATTTAGAGACCGTAAAGTTGGATGGATGAGGAAAGGCTAGAGCGACTGAGAGAAATAGACAAGACTAAGCACGAAAAGCAGACTTTTAAAATATAAGCCATGCATAAATTACCTTTCAAGCGATTGAAAATAATCATTAAATCATGTCAGACAAATTGGTAGCTTTTCAAAGGAAATAGAATATGGAATATGCACACTAGAGGCCAATTGTCCTCGTAAAGTACCATACCAAATGACAATATAGACATGAGGAAGACCGAATTAGAAAGAATTATCTTAAGTAATGGTAAGTAGGTACTCTCCTATCCACTCTACCACCTGATAAATTTTCAGCCATTCTCAACCGCGTTTTTTCTATTTCACGGTTTCTGTCTTACAGCATTAAAAAATTCTTATGATTACTACCACTACTTGTGGTGCACCGAAAGTGCAAGTGCTCATGCACTGACGTTATCGGTACTAACGTTATCGATGTTGAACTGTTGGGATATACTCTGTAAAGTAAGCAAGGCTCTTAACATTTGTCATTGAGGTATGCAGTTTCAAGTTACAATTACTGTGATATTGTTATGCTAGACTGATGTAAGGACAGATTAGGTGCAAATAAGTTTGTGTCTTACATTGTGCATTTAAAATGTTAGCAGTCAGATTAAGATACGAAAATTGAAGTGCATGATAGACGTAAACTGGTGATGTTTGATTTTTTGTTAAAGATCAGTAATTAATTCCTGCGATAATGCTTAGATTTTACGTTCGTCTTGTTGGGTTAACTTAGGGAAATGTCAAACTTAATATTTTTCTTCTGTTTCACATGCTGCACAATGACATACAAATGAGAATCAATTTTAAAGCAAAAGATCTTCACATATCAAAGCGGAACTGCATATTGTTGTCAATATTTAGACAATATGTAGTTAAAATACAACTTAGCTTTTACTTTGAACACATTTTTTGTATTTCTTTCTGTGCATTGTAAGTTGTGTCATGAAGCATCAACAGCTCTGATCTAAAGTCATGAAGTGTTAGAATACTCACGATAGCAGCAGCATACATCCTTCTGGCACAGTAAGCTTTTAAGATTATGGACGCATCACACCTGATTTCATCTCAATTGTGAGAAGTAAATGGAATATTTACATTTTCTTATTTCTAATCTAAAAATGCTCCCGAACAAGATTTGTAACAAGTTGTAAAATAATAATGATATGTATTATCGAATGCAGCAGTGCGTGTTACTGTACTTTTGTAGCAGCGGGAATTCTGAAAGTTGCGACCAGATGTGATCTCAGTTTAGGTTTAACAATTTGATTTGTTATATATATGCTCTTAAGGTAATGCAAATAAAGATGTTCTTACGGTGACGCAGTTTATTTATGATTCCCTTAATTGTATAAGTAATTCGTCTGAAAAGGATGAAGAAATTTTATATTACGCATTGATATTACAGTGAACAGAAAGACACTTATAGATCTTCAACAGGAATTTAGCTGTGAACTAAGATTACCAAGTGGTGACACATTTTTAAGTGGAAACATTAGAGCTAGAAATATGTGGCTTACAGAAAGAAGCAAAGGACTAGTTAGTTTAACTCTGTTAAACATCCAGAATCTGTTGTATGAAAGAGGAGTGCTAAAGACGAATAAAAAGATGGAAAGTGGTCTGTGATTGTGGAAATGTTCTACTTATTATGTAGAAGGGAGGAAAAGCTTCTCTCTCTACTACGAATGGAAAATGAAGTGAAGCTACTGCTGTGGAAGCAAAAGATGTATCAGAGATGATGGAAGAAAAACATTTGAATAACATTGAGGCAGACGCGGACACAACCTCTAAACTTTATTAAATGAACAAAAAATTGAGTCAACTTTGACCACCGATTTTTCTTAAATATTATTGAAAAAGTTTGACAAAGTAATGGCTAAAGTTTTGCTCGACCACCAACGGTGAAATATGTGGACAAAGGCAGTATATAGTTGTTACTGTATTCTTGTAGCAGATTTAAATTCATAATTTTTCATGAAATATATAATCTTGAGAGATTAATTTGGTTAGGGAAGCGTAGATGTGTGCGGGTAAATTATTTGCTGACATTGTCTATTCTGATGCTCTTATGTACTATATGGTCGTTTTTCTTTAAGAATATTTCTGTCATTCACCACATATACCAGTGGACAAGAAGACTAGACAATTTGCAATATGTGTAAGTAGAGCTTCTACAAAAAACTAAAAAAGCATTAAATGACTCGTAAAATAATGCTTCTACAAAACTGATTCAAATTTAGAGCCCTCATTTGTGGGTTAAGAGCAGAGTAAGTTGCCAGTGAATGTGGTAATGAAGTAAGTCGGTGAACAGTTGAAATCATTAGTGGTTTTGCACATATCATATTTCCGGATGTCTGACTAGATTAATAAGTTGCTTTAGTGTCTAGATGCTAGGGGCTAGTAAAATAGTTCCAGAAATAGTCAAAGTATAGAGAGAAGATGACGCGACAAGTGTAATCATTCTTACATTATTAAGCACACATCACACATGCATTTTTCTTAACTTTTAATTCATTTTGCTTAAAAGAAGAAGCAGAAACATTTTAGTAAGGCAAAAAGTGTCAAAATGTGTTTTAAAATAAACCATCTAAAAGTTGCTTGTGGATGCGTTGATTGTTGAAAGAATTGAAGAACAGTAATTGTAATATTATTTAAACAGCTAAAGAATGCTCAAAGTTATGAAGAAGTAAGAGGATGAGGATGAGGATGGGGATGGGAATGAGGATGAGGATGGGGATGGAGATGAGGAAGGGGATGGAGATGAGGAAGGGGATGGACGTGGGGATGGAGATGAGATGTGTCCGATTAAGGATGAAAGTTTGAGCAGATGGAGATAAGCAATGAAATAATAAAAGTATAAGAACAGCAATCGAATAGATAAAGTGACTAGCAGTGTTACATTCGAATTATAAAGAAAAAAAGTAAGGCAAGAAAGTGGAGAAGCATCAAATTTAGCCAAAAAGGACAGATGCTAACGACCAGACGCTTTCAGAAGGATTGATTGTGCTTTTGCCAATAAACCTTCATTCTCTTTTCATTAAGGTGGTGTAGTGTACTCAAAAAGCGTGGCGAATTGAATGAACAAAACAAGCAATACGATGGATCATTGCTTTTGCCAAAAAAAATGCAAATACTAATTATAAATCTGCATTACACTAAAATGCTTGGACATGAATTGTACACGTAAATGTTACGAAGGCTTGGCATGTATTCTATCGCAATCAAAGCTACACATTCCTCTATTTATAAATGTAAATGTGGTTGTAATGAGATATTTGGTTGATTAGATTACGAATCAATTTTCTTTCTCATCGAGATGTAACCTACCTACATAACTGTTACACTCTGCTATCATGTTATTATGCAACATTGGATTGAAAAGAAATATATAAGCTTACAATCTCTCTTCATTTTTTTTTCACCTAAAAAATGAACAGCGTGAAACTACAAATTAATAATAAATCTTGTTAAACTCGCTAATACAGTGCTTCGTAAGTTTTTTCACAAATGTAAGAAAGTATGGTTACAATATATACCATTATTGCGGTGGCTTAACCAAATGATTATCTGGCGTCATTTTTTGTCTGGCTTTTATCATTCTTTTGTTACGCTTCATTTCCTATTTATGGATTTAAACAGTTCAGTCAAGAACTCTAATTTCATACGTCTCTAGACTTACTTTTCATCAGCGTGACTTAGCTGCGAAGAAACATGCATACAAAATTTCATTTCCTTCCAGAATTATTACATTACTCTTGTGTATTGCATGAATTTAGAATAGCAGTCGGTCTGGAAATTTGTAATTTTCCATTACTTTGCTTCTGAAATTTCTCATTTTAATTGTAGTCCCAAAACATTCATACATGCGTGAAAGTGCGGACTATTTTCTCCTGTTACTCAA